ACCAAATTACATTAAAGAAACAAAAAGATTCACATGTAATCTGTAGCTATTATTCTAATTTCCCAGTGGTTTATCACTGTTAATACTCATTGAGCATGTAACGAAATGGACTTATTTATTATCCTAAGGTAGCATGTATATATGTATATAACTATGTATTAAAGGAGCTAAATCGCTAACATTTGGGACCTAGAAATTGACAAAAGTGGCTCGCAACACATATAATAGCACACATTTCCCTCATAGCACACTGTATGGCGTATGCCCGTCTTCATTAGCCCAGTATAGGAGCAGAACAGTAGGACGTTAAACCCCATTTCATTTCATTTTTATAGGCCATCTACCACGACCTGAGTTGCATAAAATTTATTTAGATGGTTCTACTCTATTTCCTAAATGTTTTTAATATCCATATTTTTCTCACCGTACCAAATTACATTAAAGAAACAAAAAGATTCACATGTAATCTGTAGCTATTATTCTAATTTCCCAGTGGTTTATCACTGTTAATACTCATTGAGCATGTAACGAAATGGACTTATTTATTATCCTAAGGTAGCATGTATATAACTATGTATTAAAGGAGCTAAATCGCTAACATTTGGGACCTAGAAATTGACAAAAGTGGCTCGCAACGCATATAATACTGTAATATGAATGTATATAAACTGATTTACATTCAATGTTTTCTCCAATTTCAAATCAGTTATGTTTGGCGAAATAAGCCAGCAGTCTCAAGCGAGTGCAAATTTCTAGCGTCTGGTTATTCCAGGCTACATACGCCGTTTGATTTGGGGTAATGTGTCTAGCCTCGTCCGTCGAGTCTCTTGATACATCTGGGGCTGAGGCGCATTATGGTACGCGATTCGTGTACCAATGGTAAAATGTTTATTTTGTCTTAAATATTGGATATCAACAGCCCATCTTTTTCCGGTAAGATCACAACATGAATGTTGATTTAATTTGACAAATAAATCGTGTTTTCAATGTTGAAGATTTTGGATAATATTAAGTTAGAGACTTAGCTCCTTTAAATTAAATTTCTGTGGTAATTGTAAATATTTTAGATTATACTGGGAGAAGATTCGTAAATTGTACAATTTGTTCTGATCCCGTTTGTATTATACGCATATACTTATATGTATGTATGTGCAAATAAACTTTATTATATTAATAAAAAAATAATTAAGTGCTAACTGATTAAAATTGTTAATTAAAAGAGAGGATTTAAAAGACAAAGTTGTTGTCAGCCAAATGGTTCATAATATTCCAAATATAATTTTTAACACAGGATCATCGATTGGTTTAATCCTGGGTAATTAAACATACATTATGCAAGAGCTAAATCTGCCAATTTCAGGTCTTTCTTTAGGTCTGAAATATTATCTAAATTATTAATTAGACATTAATTAACTTATCCAGACCATAAACTGCTGCTGCTGATTAAATTATTAAAAAGTGGAGAATCGAGACTATGTGTTTTATCGTACCGACTTTAGCAATGGTGATCGGCCCAAAATTTCAGCAAATTCCCTCTACAGTATCTACTTTTTAACTATTATATAGTACGAACTGCCAGCTTTTTATCTAATCTCCCATAATTTATCTTTAATGCACGAGGTGTTTTCTATTTTTCGCCCCTTGTCAGTGATGCCGGACGGAGGGCCTGACAAGGACAGCTGTCTAGTCGTTCGGGTGGGACGAAAACCCAAGGTCACGTGTACACATTGGCGTGCACGTAAAATATTCCTTGACAGTTGGAATTCGATATAAGAGTAGGCCGTAGTGCCGCTGTTCGGGCAAAATTTCCATCATAGCACACTGTACGACGTATGCCCGTCTTCATTCGCCCAGTTCGGAGCAGAACATTAGGACGTTAAACCCCATTTCATTTCATTTCTATTTTACGCGCTTTTTCTAATCTTGTGCCAGTCAAGTATTTTTATGTATAGCTGGTTTCGAATCAATCAATATCCTTTTATCAGTGGGGTACTTCACTCGGTAGAAGTAACCGCTTTCCTTTATTGTCGTCACTTCCGGAGTCTTCGATTCTTTGTTGCTGATCAAAGGTAGAAAAGATCTGTGTCAGAATTATATTTGCAATGTGTAAACTAGTTCTATCACATATGCAATGTTGGTTGATATCGACAATGTGCTTTGTATGCAAATTACGGTGGCTCAGTTCGTAAGGCATTGGCTCGATAATCCGGAGATCCCGGGATTCGATCCCGGTGTGACAGTTTGGATTGACTCCCAGTGTGTGTTTGCTCCTGGGCACTTGCTCATGTCCAAAACCATTGTTTACCATAACGACAAAACTATATCTGCTTACTTACGCCGGTGTGGGAAAAGTATTGGTCGCATAGTAGTAGTAGTTTGTTGTATTTTACGTCCGCTACCACCGAGGTGATATCGCAGACAATCACGTGTTATGTTTGATTAAGGATTTTTTTTTTAGTCGATAGCAATAAAACTGTCAATGTTCGGATCGAAGCTGATCTCAAGAGGTGTTGAGGTTGAGGGATGGTAGCTGCATTCTTGGATGTTAAAGCTGCTCTCATTTATTTTTATTGCAGGTGGTCTTGGCTTTGTAAATTCGAAGCTTGTTTCTTTTGCTGCTGTTCTACCTCCCTCTTCTCTCCTTCGTTTCGGTGCCTTTGGTTCTATTGGCGGAGACTGTGTTACTGGCGGTGACTGGGTTACTGTTTCGATCACTGTTTTACTGTCCTCGACTGGCTTTGTTGCTTCTGGAACTGGGTGTTGTGCTGGCCGTTTGTTCTTTTCCCTTTCTGGGCCTCGAAGAGGGCACTCCTTGCGTGAGTGGCCCAACTTCTCGCATCGGAAGCATGGAGAAGCTTGGCCTGGTGTTACGACTCGGACTCTGGCATCTCCGTGAGGGGTCTTCAGAACTATTATCTGTGGAATATTTTTCATTTCCTCCGTCTTGATTTCTATTTCCACCTCTCTTACTCTCTTGTAAACTCTAGTGCCCGGCAGTCTTTGGTCTTTGAAGGATCTGACGTACCCAATATCGGTCATAATATTATGGAAATAGTCGTCTGAGTAAGAGACTGGAAAGTCATATACGGCGAGGGTTACTACTTTCGAGAATCGTCTGAAGAATCTGTATTCTATCCCCATGTAGGTGTGGCTTTCTTTTTCTAGTAGTGTGGCTTTGACCTCTTTCGTCTTCACGTGGACATGCCATTCTTCTTTAACCTGATATATTGTTAATATATCGTCCCACTTGCCGAGCAGGTCGATCAGGGACTTCAAGATAGACCTGTCGGTCAATCTCTCTGTGCTACTGACCGCCACGTGGTAGGACACCCTGCTGGTCTCATCTTCGGGGACTTCGTAGGTTTTGATTATGGGGTTCATCGTGAATAGAGTACTGGTGAATAGAATACTGCTGAACTGGAGAATAGAATACTGGAAAACTGGTAAATAGGATACTGGAAAACTAGAGTCTGGAACACTGGATAACTGGAGCACTATAAGACTGGATAACTGGGATACTGGATCACTGGAGCTCAGGTGTTAGCAGGGCGAGCGCTAATTAACAACTGAGTGAGTGAGTGAGTCGATTGGTCGCATACCACTATGCCCACTTTTCTAATAAAAACAAGTTTCACTCAGGCGAAGAACAATAGAGGGATTAAAAAGCGTTAATGAGGGAACAATAGAGAGATTAACAAGGGATTAATTAGTGTGGTCAGTATTTAGCACATATCTCCTGATATATGAACTACAGTTCACCTGCATTTGCAGAAGTAAACTGGAAGTGACTAAATATTCAGTCTTATGATTGACGAGACGAACTCACTCTAATCGTTAAATTGATGAATTTTATGATAACATGATTACACTTGAATATAATATGAATAATGTTCAGCACACATTACACTGTCTTTATAAGGACACACAGAAGTCATTCTGCCATATTTCATCATGGCAAACGTTCAAGTAGACATCCAGTACATCCCTAATTCTCGGGGAGGAGAAAACTTAGTCTATGGAGGATATAAATTCTGTGTGAAGAATAGGAAGGAAGAACGGGTATACTGGAGATGTTGTATACGAGGTTGTCCAGCAACCCTGAACACCCATCATGGCCTCATCACCAAATATTCCAGAAACCACAGCCATGCTGCTAACACACACAAGGTGGCAGTTGACAAATTTCTTGCTGCCATGAAAACCAAGGTGCAAGAGGAAACCAAACCAGTCTTTGCCATTTATCAAGAGGAAGTATCAGGTATATATTTATCTAAATGCATTTAGAATTAATTTGTAAATCTGTAATCTTGAGTGTCGATGATTTAAAGGCTTCAATGTGAAAGCATAATGAACATTTTTTTCTAAACAAATCAATCGAGCGTCTTATCGAGGATTAATGAATATTTTTTTCTATTTTCTTTTTTTTTGTGTACAGCCCTTCGATCTGACCCTGACTCAACTGAGATAATTAGTGAGGTACCAACACTCTACAGTTGCAGTTCTTCCCTGTATAGAGCCCGAGCAAAGATCCTTCCAGCACTTCCTCAGACCCGCAACGACATCCAGCTTCCAGACTCCAACACCAAGACAACATCCGGAGAATGAGCAAGCGTACTCTGAGGTCACCATACTACAGTTGGGTGCCAACGGCAAATTACGGCCTAAGAGAAGGAAGTACCGGCAACTTGAAACACCCCCCCCCCCCCGCTCAGGCTTGAAAATTTGAAGGGTCCGAGGAACTTAAATCTAAAAGCCTGAATCTGACCCAAAAATTGCGAGTTTGTATACACTGAGTTGAATTATGACTTATCATTCCATTGTGGGCAAAAACAAATAGTCACATACAGCTCTGGCAATTAGCCAAAAACGTCGACAGCATAAATTGCCGTCGGGACCAATTGACCCCACGGCAAATCGCATACTGACGACGGCAATTTTTTAATACCGTACTGTATGAAAATATAAGTTTATTGAAATTTAAAGAGTTTTATTAACGCTGTTCGCCTGTTGATGTTGAATATTGTTGTGTTTGCTTTTTAATTTTATCGGCAGCGTTGATAAGAAAAAAAACCTGGTCATTTATTTTATCAAATTTTAAAAAAATAAAAAAATATGCTAGCGGAATTTATAAGATTTTTAAAAAAATTTGACACATAACATATTCACCGCTTATGTTTTATTATTATTATTATTCCCCCTCAACATTTTAAGGACATTTTATGCGATTTTATTGGCGATTTTAGACCTGTAATTTTGGAATTTACCTCCCGGAAATACGTCAGAATGCACCAAATTGAATCTTTTTTACCAATTAGTTAAGCAATTATCCAACCTAGACCCCCCCCCCCTGCAAAAATACTGCACCAGTCACGTGACTTAGCAACTATTTATCGTTAAGATACAACTAAGAGGAAAGTATGGCAACAGCCGAATGTTTATGCAAGTAATTATTATGCATATAAATATACATATAAATGTATGTGAAAGTGGAATGAGAATTTTGATGTATTCTGTCCTGCATACAGACCTCTCTTCTCACGTGACCATAAGGCTCCATGGCAAGCCTGGTGCCGAGCACCTTATCATTAGAACATGAGGTAATGGGAAAAATTCATTGGTCGGATGAGAGTCGCTTTCTCTTGTTCACCAGATATTGACTTTTTGCACTGCTTTGATAACTTGAACATAAAATGAGCTAAACTGTAGGATTTCCTATTGACCTGTACCAGCTATAGTTGATTGGACTTAGTTTTACCCTTTTCAACAGAACCGGATTAAATCCTCTACTTAAACTTCATTTTTTTGTCTTTCTTTGCTGGTTCAGTGTTTCCTTGAGGCATTTCAGGAAAAACTGCATACCTCTCAGAATCTAAAATAGCTAAAACATCTGATCAAACACTAGTATATTCAAATAAGGCTGCCTTGATACTTTTTTCTTTGTGCATAGTATATTTTGTTGTTTCATTAATATTTGTGGAATAAAGTTTTGAAGTGTAATTTTTTAGACACACTGACTGCAAAAAGAATAGTTTGTGATAATGAGTTTTTCATATGCAACAAGTAGCCCATCACATTTAGAGGTCCATTAAATGTGATTTAACAGTGGTATTCCACCTAGGAAAGTGTTCTGTTTGAGCTACAATATTCTTTTGAATTTAAATATTCAAATATTTGTCTGAGCACTATTTAAACCTGGACTGACACACTCAGTTGAAGGACAGTTTATAATATAAACATGTAGTGCTTCTTCTCATGATTTCCAGTTGAGTACAAGACAGACGTTATCATTTTGTGGGCAGGCAGCAAACAATGTTCCAGTAGGTATAGTTCCGTCCAATCCATTCAACCATTCTTTGTTACCGAGGGTTAATGAGGCACCATTTCTCGTAGATCTGAAATTTAAATAGCTCAGGGTTATTTTGAGTATCGGGTATAGTCATGAAAATTTTGATGTATTCTGTCCTGCATACAGACCTCTCCTCTCACGTGACCACAATCTTCACACCCAGAAAAATTGTTTGAAGTGATATTGTTTAACTAATCAGGACCAAATTTAATTTCCGATAGTAGATCGAAGTGAAAAATCACAATGTTTTAATCTAGTTAGAAACCATATGAATCATTGCCTACTGAATTTAAATGTTCTACAAACTAATAATAAGAAAGAGAAAATACATTACCTACAAGGCGGAATTGGAATTTTAGTAACACATTTTTCTAGAATTAGGTTATATACATACAAAGCATCTATATCAGCGGAACCAGTTAAAACAGCAAATTTTTTACCAACACCAAGTAACTGGGCACGTAGAGGTATATTAGGACCAAGTTTGATATTCTGTAACTGTATCATATTATCGTCACTGAATGAATATATTGTAATATAAGTGTTTAATTCACTATCACTCCAGGTACACAGAGCAAAACTATCACTTTTATGATGAAGGAAATTTGTGTACTGGCTTCCCTGTTTGGAATGTAAAGTATGAATTCGGCCTATCTCCCCTTCGGATATTTGTCTCCATATGAAACATGATTGTTTATCAACACTAGCAAATGTAACATTCTCTTTATAGTTTGTTTCTCCATTTGTGGTCAAAAATTTGACCTTAGTTACCCATTCTCGGTGATAGTGTTGTAGTGTAGTGACTAGCACAGGTTGTAAAGCTGCCAGGGACCAAAGTTTAACAGACTTATCAGATGATCCGGTTAAGATCATACTATGATCATCTGCAACATCAATACTGAATATAGCTGATGTATGACCGACTAGTTGATGTCTCATGCTACCAGAGGCAATGTTCCAACAAGCATTGGTACAATCAAAAGAAGAAGTATAGACCTGTTTATCATCAAACCACAGATCACAAACTGTATGTGTATTAATGGAATGTAATAATCTTCCTGTGTGAGCATCCCATATCTTTACTGTATGATCATCTGAACCTGAAATCATAAATTCATGTTATTATTAATAAGAGGATTAAGAGCTGATTTGCTAACCTGGAGGTCCCATGTTTGATCCTGGTGTTAGTCGAGAAAGTTCCTCAGGATTTTCCTGTGTGGTTTTCTTATGTCAGTGGTGAGATTAATATTATTATTGTACATTTTTATAGTGCACAACTTTACAAAATATGGTATACAAATAAAAAAATAAACTAAAATAAAAATAAGAGATACATGTAAAAGTTGAAATCAACATAAAATCTTACAAATTGCATCTAGCATTAATAATCAATAAGAACTAATTTAAAAATTTGCTTTTATGCACATATTACAGTGATGTATTACTGAGGCAAAGTCCCTAAGAAAAAGTGTCTTTTCAATATTTTTTTTAAATAATGCCAATGATGACCAGATTCTAATATCTTAAGGTAGGTAGAAGAGGGGCTTTAGCCTTGAAAATAAAATGATTGATTACTAAATGAACAGAACATTCTTCTAACAAGGAATTCACCTAATTGACACCTGTGAACATTCTAACTCAATTAAAATGAGAGTTATTGTGTTCCAAAGTCTCGACCAATCAAATTACTTGTCACTCTGCTTACCCTGAGCAGAAAATGCTCATTATCAAACTTAGTCAAGGTATTGATGTAATGAAACTATACACCAAGTTTCATCACTCTCACTTAATTAGAATTAAAGTTATTGTGTCCCAAAGCATCAATCAATCCAGTTGCTTATCTCTGCTTACCCTAAGCAAAAAATGCTCATCTTCGAACTCCATCAAGGCATTGACCTAATAACACCTACACCAAGGTTGAACATTCTAGCTCAATTAGAAAGAGAGTTATTGTGTTCCAAAGTCTCGGCCAATTAAATTGCTTATTGCTCTGCTTACCCTAAGCAGAAAATGCTCATTGTCGAACTTAGTCAAGGTATTGATGTAATAAAACTATACACCAAGTTTCATCACTCTCACTTAAATAGAACTAAGTTATCATGTCCCAAAGCATCAACCAATCAAATTGCTTATCTATGCTTACCCTAAGCCGAAAATGCTCATCTTCGAACTCCCATCAAGGCATTGACCTAATAAACACCTACACAAAGTTTGAACATTCTAGCTCAATTAGAATGAGAGTTATTGTGTTCCAAAGTCTCGACCAATCAAATTGCTTGTCGCTCTGCCTACCCTGAGCAGAAAATGCTCATTATCAAACTTAGTCATGGTATGGATGTAATGAAACTATACACCAAGTTTCATCACTCTCACTTAATTAGAATTAAAGTTATCGTGTCCCAAAGCATAAACCAATCAAATTGCTTATCGCTGCTTACCCTAAGCAGAAAATGCTCATCTTCCAACTCCATCAAGGCATAGACCTAATAAGCACCTACACCAAAAAGTGTGTCCCAAAAAGTGTGATGGAAAGACAGACAGACAAACCCATTTCAACAGTCCCCTGCTTTCTTCGAAAGGCGGGGGACAATAAACATGGGTCCATTGCAGATCTGAGATTTCTTTTTGAAATATAGTTTCAAGGAGCTCAAACAAATATGAGGGACACTGGTTATTTAAGCATTTATAAGTAAGGAGTATTTTCAGCTTACCCAATGTTGATTATACAATATGGGAGAAATATGAGATGAAAGTTTATCTTGAGTTACTAACCTAGCTATGGAATTTTGCAGTTTATACATTAATGGGTTAGGAACACCAGAGAGCAAAGAATTGAAATTATCTAGTCTTGGCCTGACATACAGTATGAATTGATTAAAGTTTTTGTTGCATTGTTTGTGATGTATTTTCTAATCCGACTATTTTCCTTATAATTTCATTTCATTTCCTTTTTCCCAAAGTGATGATAACTAAATTAAAGGATGCTGTCAAAGAACAAAATGCATCCAACTTTTGAGTGACAGTTGTTATAGGCCTACATGTAATTGAGAATGATTGGTTTAGCAGTTCATTTTTATAACTGTATTTTGTTTAAATTAACAAACGTATGTTAATTTGGATTATATGGCTTCATTTTCATTAACATAATATCTATGGAAGACATGGATAGGTCAGGGTTCATGATCAAATTAAACGAACAAAGTACATTTGTTCCTAAATTGTCAATTTATTTCTCAATTGACAGATTTCTAGGCAATTCTACATACAACTTGAATATACATCTCTCTGAGCACATTACAGTTGATCTTTGCATGGTTTGAAAATGTTAATGCCAAAACAGTAATATTCCCTGGTTCTTAATACAAAAAATTAGCTTTGATAATAATTTGAACTGCCAACAGTGAGACTGATGTTCTCTGCCTCAATCCCAAAATAAATTGATAACATTTAATTGCACATTTATGTTTTTTAACCATCAAACACACAAACTGCTTATCTATACTTAACCCAAGCAGAAAATGCTTATAATCATACTAAGTCAAGGTTTTTATGTATTGAAACCATACTCCATCACTCTGCCTCAATTAGAATTAAAATTATTGTGTCCTATGGCATCAACCAATCAAATTACCTATCTCTTCTTGGCCTATGCAGAAAATGTTAATCAGTGAACTGGAACTCAAGTTTGAACATTCTACCTTAATCAAAAGCAGAAATCCTGACTAATCAAATCACTTAATGCTACTTAGCCTAAGCAGAAAACTCTCAGCAGCGAATGTATTCAAGATATTTATGTAATGAAACTACATCAAACTCTCACCCAATTAGAATCAAAGTTATTGTGTTCCAAAGGCTCAACCAATCTGCTTAGCCTTAGCAGCAAATGCTCATCATCAAACATCTTGTCAAGACATTCACACACCTAAACCAAGTTTGAATATAATAATACATCAATTAGAACAAGCCAACAGTGAGGCTGATGTCCCCCGCCGAAATATGAAAATAATTAGAGGACACATATAAATTTATCACAAATAAGCGGAACGGACAGACAGACAAACAGACAGACGGACGAACCCATTTTAATAGTTCCCTGCTTTCTTCGAAAGGCGGGGGACAATCAAAGTAGGAGAGTTATTGTTTTCCAAAGTCTCGACCAATCAAATTGCGTATCGCTCTGCTTACCCTGAGCAGAAAATGCTCATTATCAAACTTAGTCAAGGTATTACTGTAATGAAACTATACACCAAGTTTCATCAATCTCACTTAATTAGAACTAAAGTTATTGTGTCCCAAAGCATCAACCAATCAAATTGCTTATCTCTGCTTACCCTAAGCGGAAAATGCTCATCTTCGAACTCCATCAAGGCATTGACCTAATCAACACATACAACAAGTTTGAACATTCTAGCTCAATTAGGAAGAGAGTTATCGTGCCCCAAAGTATCAACCAATCAAATTGCTTATCTCTGCTTACCCTAAGCGGAAAATGCTCATCTTCGAACTCCATCAAGGCATTGACCTAATAAACACATACACCAAGTTTGAACATTCTAGCTCAATTAAAAGTTATCGTGTCCCAAAGCATCAACCAATCAAATTGCTTATCTCTGCTTACCCTAAGCGGAAAATGCTCATCTTCGAACTCCATCAAGGCATTAGCCTAATCAACACATACACCAAGTTTGAACATTCTAGCCCAATTAGGAAGAGAGTTATCGTGTCCCAAAGCATCAACCAATCAAATTGCTTATCTCTGCTTACCCTAAGCGGAAAATGCTCATCTTCGAACTCCATCAAGGCATTGACCTAATAAACACATACACCAAGTTTGAACATTCTAGCTCAATTAGGAAGAGAGTTATTGTGTCCCAAAAAGTGTGACGGACAGACAGACGGACAGACAGACAGACAGACAGACAGACAGACAGACAGACAGACAGACAGACAGACGGACCCATTTTAATAGTCCCCTGCTTTCTTCGAAAGGCGGGGGACAAAAAAGAGTCATTTGGTTCCATGGTTCAGACCAATCAGATTGAAGTTTCTACTTAGCATTAGCAGAAAATACTCATCATCGAACTTAGTTAAGATTCCGATCATGCTCCTAAGTCTCAACCAAACAAATTGCTAATCATATGCTTAACTTGAACAGAGCCTGCTCATTATCAAACTCAGTCCAGGTATTGTTGTAAAGAAACTACCAAGGTTCATCACTCTGACTTGTATCCCAAAATGTGCGATGGACGAACGAACAGACGGACAGATCAACACCACACATGAACCTATTTTAATAATCCCTTGCTTTCTTCAGCAGGTGGGGGACAATAAAAAATTCAGCTACGCCTACCTGATGCAATTTTCCCATTTTTATAACTGATAGCCATGACTCTACTCTCATGGCTAGTCAATTTACGAGTATCAATACATCTTTTAGTAGAACAATATCTAAATAGTCTAGTTATCTGTCTGTAAAGATGTATATATTTTGAAGTATCCTTTGAACAATACAAAATATCTACAGATCCAATTGCGAGCATCTTCTCCCACCACACCTGAAATAGAGTTTACAATGGCCGATGTTAATAGTTAACAATAATTTTCATCTTCCAGTGGTAAATAGTTAGGAATATATATATTTTAATTTTAGTCTTGATATCTTAAACCAGATGTGTTATTCCAATCATATTGGTCACTCTAAAACAAAACATCACAGATATCTTAGTCTTGATATCTTAAACCAGATGTGTTATTCCAATCATATTGGTCACTCTAAAACAAAACATCACAGCGCTATTTTACCACTCCAGCAGAGATGTAAAAAGCATTTTGATAACACTAGCATAAATCTGACAAAATTCTATTTACTACTCAATGAATCTGAAGTGATATCCAAGGTATATTTCAACTTTTAATTGTACTAATTTAGTGTGTGTGTATTTCAACCTTGGATGCACTGTTTATGATGTGATTCCATTTTGGTGAGACTTGCGAACATCTAATTAATGATTTTCCATCCAAAAACTTCAATACATGATATCTGAAAAACACAATTATTAATATAAGACTAGGAATTAAATTGAAAATGCTTAACTGAGATCAGGCTACAACAGTGCCACAGATAAAATGAGCAGAGTATGCTAAATGAAAAACATAATAATGCCTGATTTAGTCCATTTAGGTGACTATTGCATGTGTAGCATATCATGCTGACATATATCTTACTGGTTTTTTAGGGGTCCTAAAACTGTTATCAGGTGAGTAAATAAGTTATGCATTTTAAAAAGATCACTTTGGAGGTAGAATCTGAACAACACCTTATCTTGATGTAATACCTCTAAACCAGAGCGAAAGAGAACAGCCACAGGTAGGAACGGTTTTATGTGTATGTTTGCAGGGAGCAGGACAACTGCCGGGGGGACAACAGCCAGCAGGACAACAGCCAGTGAGGACAACTGCCGATGATATCATTTGTTTTTCTTTATTTATGTCCTTTTTGCTAAAATTAACCAATGCTTAATAATTAAATATTCTTTATTTATTAACACACAGGTTCAGTTTACTTAACACATTGTCTATAATAGCACTTACTAAGTGACTGACTGACTATAATAGCACTCACTGACACAAAGTTATCACAGATGAATATGGTGTGCAATACCGCAAAATAGTCCAACACATGGTGACTGTTGAACTTACGGACAATGTTTAGTAATAATAATAATAATGGATTTGTATCCAAAAGTTTGCTCACTGGCACTGAGTTAATCTGTCACATTTATGCCAGATTCTTCCCATCATCTGCACTAAATGGGTGTTTTTTTGGTAGCCTTTTCCACAGTTTAGGAGCAGTGCTCAACAGAAACGAATCTGTCTCTACATTTAACATAGTTTGATCTCGGAATTTCTAATTAAAATTTTGTTTGAAGAACGGAGTTCTCTTTGTGATGCTTTTATGTGAAGTAGATTTTGGGGGTAGGAAGGAGAGGTGGTGTTTGGCTTTAAACATTTGTAAGTTATTAAAAGTATTTTGTAATTAATGCGTTGATTGATAGGAAGTCAGTGTAAATCTTTCACTTTCAGTACTGGTGTGATGTGCTCATACATGTATGGTTTCGTTCTGGTTATAATACGGGTGGAAGTATTTTGAATTTTTTGAAGACGCTGTAAAGTTGATGCAGGGGATGCCAAACAGTAATGAATTACAATAGTCCAGCCGAGGTGTGATCAGAGCGTATACAATGGTTTTAGTTGTATCTGTATCTAGGTATTTACAAATTCTGTTGATCCTGTAGAGTTGATAGAAGGAAGATTTGCAGATTAAAGAAATATGTTGTGTCATGTCCATGGTGCTGTTAAAAATTACACCAAGGTTCCTAGTGGAAGCTGAAGATGTAATGTTATCATTTCCAACAATAAGAGTGCTACTTTGTAGTGATGAAAGTACCTTCTTTGAACCAAGTGTCAAAAATTCAGTTTTGTCTGTGTTTAATTTTAACCAGTGGCTGCCAGGCAGGATATGGCCATATTTTGCAAGAGATAGATAGAGAACAAGCTAAAAACAAACACAATAATCCAGGAAGTTATGGCCTGAAATGTGCAAATATCAAACAGGACTGAGATCTTTGGGATATAAAGATATGTGTTAAGTTTCACCAAAATCGGATAAAAATTGTGACCTCTAGAGGGTCCACAACCTTCGTATTACACACTTCTACACAATTTGAGTACAAAGAGCGGCCATTTTGTCGGGCAGTTTCATTTCGATTTTCCTGAAATTCGAATTCAACCTTCATTATGGTGGAATGGTGATGTACATGTATTTAAACGGTTTTTAAAATTGTGACCTCTAGAGAATCCACAAGCTAAATTTTTCGACCAATCAGGGGCCATAATCCAGGAAGTTAAGTTCAGGTATTTTCGATTATCAAAAGGAACCAAGATCTTAGTGTGTAATTGTGATACATTCACATAATTTTTTTAAATCGGATAAAAATTGTGACCTCTACAGGAACCAAAAGCTAAAAATGTGATTTTTTTTCAATCAAGGGCCATAATTCAGGAAGTTATGATCCGATATGCGCGAATATCCAAAGGAATCGAGATCTTAGGGTGATAAACCTATATTTCAAGGATAAAAATTGTGACCTGTAGAGTGTTTACAAACAATTGTGTATGGACGGACAGGGGCGACAACAATATACGTCCACATGAAAATGTGGGCGAATAAAAAATTTTCATACATCCATTCACTTATTTTTGATAAACACTTTTCAAGGGCGAGTTGCTTATCAATTCTGAATGACACATAGAGGTCCTGCGACGTACAATTGGGTATCATCGGCAAACAAATGAAAATCGGTGTCAAACTGCCTGATGTCCCCTAGTGGAAGAGTGTAGACTGAAAACAAGAGTGGACAAAGAACCGAGCCCTGAGGGACACCATATCGCATATGGTTTGGTTTAGATTTACTGATTTGTACACATACTACTTGACTTCGGTCCGATAGATATGACTGTATCAGGTTTACAGCCGGATCTGACAGAAGCAATCTGTATTTGAGACGATGCAGAAGGATGCTGTGGTCTATCGTGTCAAACGCTGCAGACAAATCAAGCAGCACAAACAGAACTGTATATTTCTTATCCATACTCTGCAAAACATCATTGTGTATGCATAGTAATGCAGTTTCAGTACTGTGTCCTTCTCTGTTAGCCGACTGAAATGGTTCAAGCAGGTTACAATGTGCTAAATGTTCCTTTAGTTGAACGGAGATCACCCTTTCCAGCAGTTTTGAAACAAAAGAGACATTCGAAACAGGTCGATAATTTTTGAAATTGTTATAATCAAGAGATGGCTTCTTGATCAAGGGTTTAACAAGTGCAGTTTTGAGATACAGAGGAAATGTTTCAATGGTCAATGACAAATTAATAAGAGGCAGCAGTAATGGTGCAAAACAAGACACACATTTTTTAAGAATCCAAGTTGGAATTGTATCATGACTTTGCTGGTGCCAAAGTGATTAACTCTTAACATGCTCGTGGGAACCAGTTTTGAAATAAAATGTGTTAGTTGGTTCAGAGGCAGGGCTAGCAGCCTTTGAGATAACAAATGATGGAAGAAATTGATCTCAAATTTTTTTAAATTTCAGAATCAAAGCATTCAGAGAATAATTCAGGCAGGTCAGCTACTTTATGATATGCTGGGAGGATGTCAGCGGTGCCTTCATTTGACAGTTCTTTGAAGACATTGAACAGCACCTTTGAGTTACCATTGTTAATAATAGCTTCCTTTAAATGTTGTATTTTAGCTTGACTTATGACTTTGTTGTATTTATGTTTCTCCAGATATATTTGATGATGGATTTCGAGTTTGGATCGCTTCCAAGTCTTCTCAGCTTTTCTACACTCTTGTTTGGAATTTTGGAGATCGTCTGTGAACCTTTTGGTATTGGACCTAACAATAATTGATTGTTTTTTTCAGAGGTGCGTGAACATCAAGTACACTTTGGAGGGAATTGTTAAGGAAAGACCACCTGTCATAAGGGATACTCGATTGAACGTTCTGGAATTAAATTCTCCCAATTCCGAAAATAATGTCATCGAGTGAAAGGCAGTATTTTGGAGTACAACGCATGTGTAGACTGCATAAAAAACATCTCAACCAATCATGGCAGCTGAAACATATGTGTTACTTAAAATACGTCATGATTCTACTCACATCACTTCACCTGTCGGGACTGGCAGAACTGTGACAGGACTGAATTCGATATCACTTGATTGCAATTCTGTCAATTCGGGATGTTCCGGACTGACAATCGAGTACTCCCATTAAGTTCTGAAACCGATCCAAGTTGTTGGCTAATGTTTGGCAAGTTGAAGTCCCCTACAAAATGTTTGAGGTCAATATTACGACACTTCCTGTAGGGTAGTGTAGTTTGTTTAGGTTGAGGTTTAGGTATATTGAGATGAACAAAAATGCTGAGATAATCAGAAAAGCAGTGGTCCTTCACATGGACATTGCAGATATAAGTGGAGGATGATTTAGAAATCACCAAGTCTAAAGTATGAACTTGCTTATGTGTTCCTTCCTTTACATACTGCTTTAAGTCGTAGGAATCAAGAAAAAGCAGGAATTGTTTTGAATGGTGATCATTTTCATGGTCAATATGAATGTTAAAGTCACCTAGAATGATAGGCTGATCAGATGTTGTTAGTAGTTTTGAGAGATCTTGCATTCAAAAGGCACAGATTTAGTGTGGAATAAGAATTTGAGTCTTGATATTGTGCTAAGCTACACAAAGAATTGGATAGAAATGATTTAAACTTTTTTTCCACCTCTCTTCCCCCTCTTTGTAGAACCATATTTAAAAAGGCCTAATGTGTTTAAAGGTCAGGGTTAACTTTAGTCACTTCATTGTTTGAGTGTAAGAATTGTTCACATCTATAGCCCATGGGAATTGAAATCTGCTCAGATGAGTTAATTTTTTTTCTGATCAAAAACATTAGAAATTGCACAAATGTCTGATTTTCAGTAATATATGCATTCCACAGCTAAATCCAATGGAACATCATAATCACAATACTTGAATGCATATCCATGCACAATTTCACAAACTAAACATCACAGAAGGATGACAGAGCTCTTCCATACAGATTTAAAGCACAAGGGAAGTAACTCAGGCACTGCTCAGTTATGTTTTGATAATGATTACAGGTATTGTTCTCATCCATCAATTAATAAACTATACTAAAACCAGCAGTTGCCAGGCAAGAGATGGATAGAGAACAAGCTAAAAACAAAAGCGATTTTTCGTATAATCATGGGCCATAGTTGGCATAATCCAGAAATTTATGGTCTGAAATGCGCAAATAATAAACATATATTTAAAGTTTCATCACAATCGGATAAAAATTGTGACTTCTAGAGGGTCCACAACCTTCGTATTACATACTTTTACATATGCAAAAATATCAAAAGGAACCATGATCTTTGGATTATAAACATACATTTCAAGTTTCATTAAAATTGGATAAAAATTGTGACTTCTAGAGTGTCCACAACCTTGGTATTACATACTTTTACATATGTGCAAAAATCAAAAGGAACCACGATCTTTGGATTATAAACATACATGTCAAGTTTCCTCAAAATCGTTTAAAAATTGTGACTTCTAGCGTGTCCACAACCTTGGTATTACATACTTTTACACTATTTGCGTACAATTTACACTATAACCCAGGTATCGTTTAATCTTGTGTAACTAGCACTAATTTCTTTCACATTCGTTTAATATTAAATCTTTGTTTAAAAATTGTAAAAATTGTTTAAAATCACCATAAATCATTTAATTTGTACTTCTATCCAGTTTAAAGATGACCATTCAATTTTGATAATGAGTGTCCAATTTACAAGTGTTTAATTTCTCAATCATTGTTAAAAAATAAACAACCCAATTGATTAATGATGTATAATGATTAATTTTTGAACAGTGATCAGGAAATTAAATACTTGTAAATTGGACACTCATTATCAAAATTAATCAGTCAGCTTTAAACTGGACACATGTGCAAATTAGATGATTTTGGTGATTTTAAACAATTTTTACGAATTTTTAAACAAAGATTTGATATTAAACGAATGTGAAAGAAATTAGTGCTAGATACACAAGATTGAACGATACCTGGGTTACAGTGTTAAGGAGCGGGCATTTTGTCTGGCAGTTTTGGTCAGATTTTTAAACCTCAAACTCAACCTTCATTGATGTGTAACGGTGATATATTTAAACGTTTTTTAAAATTGAATACAAATTTTGATTTCTAGCGGGTCTACATGCTAAAAATGCGATTTTTTCGAACAATCAGGGGCCATAACCAGAAAGTTATGGTCTGATGTATGCCAATTTTGGGAGATAGACCTATATTTTAAGTTTCGTCAAAATCAGATGAAAATTGTGACCGGTAGAGTGTCCACAAACAAATTGTGGACGGACAGACAGACAGACAGATAGACGGACAGACAGGGGCGACGACAATATACATCCACATGAAAATGTGCGTGCATAAAAACCCAATGAAATTATTGGCAATACAATAAGATTAACAGTTATGTTTTTATAATGATTACATATATAGATCTTTTTTTTTTTTACGTATAGTTTATAACTATTGCCTCATTTATCATTAAATAAACTATACTAACAAGAACAAATAAAATCACTGGCAATAAAATCAACAGTTATAAACTATAATAAAAACAATAAATAACTAGAACTGCGAAGCAGTAATGACGGGTTTCACCAGTGCCACGTTACCCTAAACATATGTCACTTCCGGTACCAATAAGCATTGCACACATCAAATAAAATGGACGCCGAATCAACCAAATCCAGCAATATCAATTCATTTTATACATTTTTTACAGGTAAGTGTACAGTACTTCCGATGATAATCAAAATGTTCAATTAGTTTTATGAAATCAGAAATGGCATAAGGCATCGCATGGTGAAAATTTTATGTAAATCGAATACTAATTGCCATGTGTAGAAAACCGTCTATTTCTCTGCAACCGTACAAGTTAGAAACCATTTGCTGGTATCTGTATGATCGTATGGGTTCAATCTATTGCTGATTGGAATCAAATATCATAATTTTAAAAACATAACAAATCAGACTCATTTGAATAAAATATCTGTTTTGAAGGCTAAAAATACAGTTTTTGCCAAAATGACGTTACTTCCAGTGATAATGAAAATCTTAAATTACTTGTATGAAATCGTAAATGGCATTAGGTATCACACAGTGAACATTTTATGAAAATCGAATAATAATTGACACTTTTATGGACCAAAAACCTTGAGAAATGACCTGTTGAAAATCGCCTATTTCTCCGCAACTGAACAAGTTAGAAACCATTTTGTGATATCTATATGATCCTATGGGTTCATTCTATTAGTTGATTGGAATCAACTATCCAAATATTGAACAAATAACAAATACGACTCATCTGAATAAATTATTTGTTTCGAAAACTATAAATATAGTTTTTGCCCAAATTACGTGATTTCCGTTGATATTGAAAATGTTAAATTGGTTTGACCTAGTCACAATTGACATTACGTATCAAATGGTATCATTTTAATGAAAATCCAATAATAATTGACTCTTTTACAGGCAAAATAGCGTAAAAAGTGACACTTGCAAAATTGACCATTTCTCGGCAACTGCTCATATTACAAACTAATTTTGAGATAGATTCTCTTCGTATGAATTAATGCTACAATGTATAAGTTTATGAAAGTCACAAAGAAATATTTTAAAATTTGAAACGCCTGAATGGGTTGTAAATAGTTCAATTTTACATTGTTTTTCCACCTTTAAATCGAAATGACGCAAAAATGAAAACGAATTTAAAAAACTTGCTTCTGACTTTTTTTGCGCCTTTACATGGCGCATCTTCTTACTTTTTACTTATTTTAAAAAAATAATATTTGCTTGCGAAAAGACCTTCCTAACCTCCAAAATAGTAGTTTTGGTCAAAATTACGTCATTTCCGCTGCTGACAGAAAGCTTTATCGGTAATAAAAAAGTCGAGACTTTGCACCATTGAGCATATGAACTTTGTTTTATACAAATCGAGCCATAAATAATTAACCTAGAACCCATAAACTGAATTAGCCAATAGCGGCCAAGTTGAATTATCGATACAAACATTTTTCATATTTTTGCTCAAATCACATGACCCTATAATTATGGGTAAAGCACCATAAAAAAAATATTCATAAATAAAAAAGTTTTTTGTCAAAATTTAAATTTTCAAAATTTGGCGCCTAATATCTTCGAAGATTAATCGAAAATCAAAAATCTAAATAATCGTAGCTATTTACCGTGTCTCAGGCTATGTCAAAATGTATCAAATGTTAAAATTCGACAATTATTGTTAATATTACGGCAATATTTAAAAAAACTACAACTTCGGTGATTTCGGACATTTCGCATTGTCATAGAAAGTTCGAAATAGCTTTAATCTCTAAGTCACACCCACATTCCCAGTCAAACCGAAGACATCGAGTCAATCCGACAAATAGTTTCCGAGATATGCTCAAGCGGAAAAAAAAAATAATAATAATAAGAAGAAGAATAATAATCTTAACAAAAACAATAGTGTTTCACACTGGCTACGCAGTGTGAAACCCTAATAAATTGTCCCATCGGCAGTTGTCCTAGACCCTTGTTTGAAGTATATAAATCTAACTCTAGAGGCGAAGTTGTGCATATCTCAAATAAATGGGTTTAATGAATTAATCAACCCTTGAGGTGAAAACCTGTGTAACAGTGTGTTTCTGTAGATGGTATGTTAATTAACCATAGGGTGATTCTATTAGTATATTTGTTCCATTGTAAATATAATATTAAGAATGTGAATATTTCTTATTACTATAGCCTACCTGATTTCTTGTGGTAAAAGCACTAGAAAATCTCTATAAATTAGAGATGGAAGAACATCTGCTAAATGTGTTAACTGTTCAGCACCTGATGCATTTATCAAGGTATCAAGTGCTTCATTTCTTTGACAGTTGGATAAACTAATAAATTTATCCACAGTGTTATGTAACCAAGTACAAAACCCTTCATCTTTTATTGACATCCTAACTACACACTAGTAGTTTGTAACCTTCTTAACCTGAAAAAAAAAAGATTCTACAGTTGAAATAAAGATATACCTGGCTAAGAAAACTAAATTTGTCAGTTTGTGTTTGACATTAATTTGGTATCCGGACAACTCGGACCAAAGACCACTCGGACTAAGACCGGTCGGACCAAAAAGGAGACCAGTTGGACTAAAACAGAGACCACTTGGACCAACCCAAAAAACCACTTGGAACAACCCAGAAAACCACTTGGACCAATTAATATATATTGTAAGACCACTCGGACTAATATTTAGCTCTGCTATTCGGATCAACCCAAAGACCACTTGGACCAATTAATCTATAATGTAAGTCCAATCGGACCAATATATACAGTAGCTCTGCTACTCAGATAAAAAGGAAAGATTCATAATAAAGGGAATAATGGTTAAAATCATTGGAATGTTAAAAAAAATGACAGAGGCAGAGAAATAGAATTAAATTGTCATTGAAATAATAACAAGAGAATAACCAGTCTGAAACCATATAGGAGGCAGACCACCATTAAATTTCACCATCTCGGTACCGACGAATTGTAGTTCGTCTACATGTTATGTATTTATAGCAATTCTCTCTCTCTCTTTTCTCCCCTTTTGCATGCCCATTTTTGTTGATTTTTTGGTCTAGAATGGACGAAGAGGGTTTGATTGAATTAACATTTTCTGCCAGGTTTTGGTAAATATTCATGATTTTGAGGCGGAAGGATAACAGGGTAATCAGGTTGGCTACGGTGATATGTACGGCAACTAGTTACATGTTTTTACTTACAGTCGTATGCTTCTTCAAGTTAATTGTGTATCTCAAAATTTTGGTGGTCAACCTCATACAAATTTTAGTGCAAAAACATGATTATTTGTTCCTCTGTCTGTAGTGAAAAGCATTCATTCCAACGAAAATTTGGGGAAAAGTTGGAGGTGGGCAAAGAGGCCAGAATTAACATTGAAAATTGAAGTCAATGGTGGTCTGCCTCCTTTATGCGTTGCTGATATGCTTATCTTCCCTTTATTCCTACCTTATACCCACCCAGAAAAGGGATTCTTTTTTTGCTTGTTTCTCTTATTCCTGCAAGTCACTAATTATGTATCACAAAATAATAGGGAATTATGTCAAAACTGTTTCTCTAACCATCTTTTCGGATGCCAACCTCACATGTTGTCAAAAATCGAAATATAAAACAAAAATTCGGGTTTGACAATTATACAGTGGCGCCACGTACAAACAAAGGGCAGGCAACTCTACAACGAAGACCTTTGGAGAATATGAAGTAAATAATGAGAAAAATATCATTTATTTATACATAGACCTATGTGTGGGTTCAGAATGAGTAAGTATATAAAAAGATATGATGAAAGATATTCTGAAAATCTCTTAGCCTATGACTTAAGGCAAGGTGAAGGGGAAAGGAACAATCGCCATAATAATTAATATTATTAATAATAGACGTAGGCTACGACAGGGTTATATTTTCACTTGATCAGGCTGCGATCACCTCTCCCTGTCTCCAAAGACAAGTTTATTTGTTGGACTTTTTCCAGTCGGCATTAGCCTACCCTAGTTGTTTGTGTTTTCTTCTGTCGTATGACACAGTAAACAATGGATCTGGCAATTTCTTGTAGTATTTTTTTAAAAAAAAAATAATTATATGGTTTGTCAGAAATTGAATTAAAGGAGTTGCCTCCCTTGCATCGCAATACTGCAAACCAAACCGCAAATAATTTCTTCATTTGAAAATCGAATGACAAGAACATTCTAAACAATATCTTATACCGTAATGCCAACACCATTATTAATTATTTTATGAAACTATTTTAATACGTCCACTACTACTATTACACTACCCGGTCTATGGTAGGCTAATACTTCTACTACCTACCCGGTGCTTTATATGTCTGCTTCCACAGAAGTAGTATCGCAGAAAAGACATAGGAGAGCCGAAGCTTCTTACTGTTTTTAGAATCTGATTTAGCAATCTTTCCATTTGCGGCACGGAGTGGGTTTAGTGGGGAGTTCTTCCATTTATTTAATATAAAAACGTATTGTTTTTGTTGTTGATCTGTACAGACATTATAAGGACATAGGCCTATATGCGTCTCGTCTCTGGATTGCTGGATGTCATCTTTGTGGGTTTAGTGTTTAGGTGCCAGAGCCATCTTATCGTGGCCTCACCTTACTCCACTATCATACTCTGCAGGTTTTGGTGTCTTTTTAGTGGATTAGTGTTTAGATGCCGAGCCTGTCTGACCGTGACCCACCCTTACTCCACTATTCTACTTAATCCAACCGTGGTCATTAGATCATGGATTAGTTTGAAGATTGCAGCTTCAGATCTGGCCCCGAGTTCACAAAGAGTAGCTTCTTAGTGTTGAGCGATATGTTGTTGGTCTCCATCCTCCCCACTAGTCACCTTCTCTCCTCCCTGTATACTTCACAGTCTACCAGGACATGGTTGGTGGTACGTTCTTCTCCGCACACCGCTAGTTTCAATATAACTTTACATATATCTCTTCTAGGGTGATTGATCGCTGTTTTCGTGTAGATCTTGTCACCCTGCCGGAATCTGTATATGTCAAGTTCAACGGGCTTTAGTTCCAAGATTGAATTGACCTGTCTTTTAACCATACTGTAGATTTCCGTGGTACTGTATTCTATGTAGCTGCAATTTGTAGCCGTGCTAATTCTTATCTACAGCTACAATTGATACACTATTCAAGGTTTTGAGCAAGTAAAATTAAGTTCAATTGCAAAATTCTCAACACATATCACCACAGTTTACATGGAAATAAGTAATTATTTACAAATAGTGAAGAGTGGAACACTGAAATCATAATCCTATCTTACCGAACGTTTTTTTCTGTATTTTCGAGTGACATTTTGATTTAACACCATGTGATTCTGGTTCGGCGACCATTTTAAAATTAACAGAAATTTCGCATAGTAGTTGGGTTTAATCAAATCATGTAATTATACGGTAAGGTTTCACCTAAAAGGTTTCACTTTTATTTTAATGGGAATTGGTTTATTATAATATGTTAAGCTATGTACAGTACAGTTTGGGGTCAGTGTAATTGGAAATTAGGGGAGTCATAGACCAGTAACTTTTTATAGTCAATTGACTGCAAAACTTGTTCAACGGAAGGCCTTACGATGGTCTACTACTGTGTTTAGAGCAAGACAAAAGACATCAGCAGTGGAACCATTTCTATATTATATGGTGTGGAGTGGTGCTGTGTCCCTGAGACCTTCGTTGGCGATTTGATCTGCCTCCTCATTACCTCGATTGTCAATGTGTGATGGAATCCACACAAGTTCTAGTTTGCTTCCCTTCTTTAGGACCTTCTGGTACAGCTTTCTGATTTCCAAAATGACTTCTGGTCTTGAGTCTGTGTTGTCATTTTGGATTGAAATCAGACTGCTCAGAGAGTAGCTTGGAATGGCAAACTTGCTAGTCTTTTGATGGGAAATCCATGATATAGCATCCCAGATGGCTAGAAGCTCTGCAGTGTACACCGAACAGTCATTGGGCAGTTTCATGCTTATTCCTTGTTCCCCATTTGACAGGTATATTTCAAACGAGCTGGTGCCTCTTTCTTTCAGGATTACGAGAGCCATTCATATAAACATGGCCCCAGTAATCAGACGGTTAGTTGTCATCCAGGTGCTCTAGAGAGAATGCACGTGTAGCAATAGGATTGTTTGCCTTGTCCGTTTTCTGTAGGAGATCTAAATTGACTGAGTCCGAGGGGCGATCATGGGTGGGTCGTATTCATTTATCACAGTTTCTTGACTGACTGTTTCCTTGATACCCTGGCCGAAGCTTTTCTTTCTAGGATCTCTCACATATCTTGTCTTCTTTAGGCTGATTGGGGATCTTTCGCCCAATTGCGAAATCTTAGCCCCAGTATACAGAGCGTATTAGAGCATGGTACACCATCATTAATGTAACTCTATTGGCTCCCCACGAACTGTCCGTTATTTTTCTCAATAAGTTTATGATTTTGGAGCATCTACATGTATCTACAGTTGGTGTGCGGTTTCCAGGTCAGCCTTCGATCAAAGATTACGCCAAGGAACTTGGTTTGGTCTTAAACTCAATGGTTTTCCCGTTTATACACAGTCATTCTGCTCATCCCACTACCCCTACTCACAAGCATGCCGACTGTTTTCTTCTCTGAGACTTTGAATCCCCAGTCTGAATTTGTCTAAATCTACGAACACGGCACATAACCGGTGTCCCGAGAGGTGTGGCTGAGACATGACTTGCTGTAGTCTCACCAAGTAGTCCATTGTCCATCGTCCCTTCCTTTGATTTTCGTCCATCAGTCGGTTGCTCTCCAGATAGAACTGAAGTCAGATGTTAATCATTGTCTCCAAGGTTTTGTTTGGTGTGGATGTTAAGCTTACTGGACGATAGCACTCTGCCTTTGTCCTCTCTTTCCCTCTCTTTCCCCGGTTTCATTAGAGGGATAACTTTGGCTTTCCGCCATTCGATCTGCCTCCTCATTTACTCTATTATCGACGTGTGATGGAATCCACACGAGGTACTTCTCCTCTCAGCCAGGGTGTGTTGAAGAAGTTTAGTAGTATTGTTTTGGCGTTTCTAGGCAGATGTTTGAGCATTGAGTACTTTACTTTGTCCTCACCAGCCGCACTATCCTTCTTGAGGGAAAGAGCTTTATTTAACTCTTCCTCAGAGAAGGGTAGATTAATTGGTTCAGTCTCTTCAATAGATTCAATGAAGGGTGCTGCGGGTAAAAGATTTCATTCCTCTTCAAGAATTCTGGTGATTGGTTTTCATCTCCACTTGCGCTTAAATGTTTTTGCAAGTAGATCTTCCCTTTCATTGGCGTTGGTAACGTACTTATCTCCATCATCAAGGTTTGGTATATTGAATGATCTGCGCTTTCCATTCATGGCGTTCAGTTTCTTCCAGACGACACCCGTTTCCGTGTTTTGATTTAACGCATTACAGAATGTCATCCAGTGCCCACTTTGTGCCTTACGGATGGTGTTTCTTGCAGCGTATTTCAACTTCAGGTAGTTGGGGTGGTTGACTTCGTTGTAGTGGCGTTTTCATGGGCAAAGTGCCTTCTTTCTTTCGTAAAATGCCTTCTGACATTCCTTGGCTTCCTGCCAGATGTCTTTAGACTGGAGCCATCTGCGGAACCTATAATTGCACTTGTGATGTTGGCAGTGTACACGTCGATGTTGGTGTCGATGATGTCTTCTTCTTTCCATCAAGGCAGCCTACACGGAAATTTGCCCAATCATCTTCTCTGATTCCAATTGGGTCTCCCGTTATAGATTTCCCTGGTGGTTTCAGCTTGGATGTGGAATTGACTCCTTGTAAGGACTTGCCTTCCAGTAAACTCACTAGAACGACGTGGGTCTGTTCTTCTCCCCGTTTTGTTGCAGAAAAGAACTTTGGTGCAGGGGAGCTGTTAAAAGCTTCAGCCATGGACATTGGTGAAGTAGTCTGTCGCCATCGTTCTTATTACTGCCGAAAAAAATCGAAAACAAAAGGAGGGACTGAACAGTGTTGATTAGGGTTGTAAGCTGATATAACTGTAGTTAACCCTTTCCACAAAGAGCTGCTAGTCAATCAGGCCTGTTTGCTGTAAAAACAATTAAGCTTGTTAGTGATTATTTTAGATGCTTGTGACTAGTTCAATCAGTTATGGGGAGTTGGATGGCTGAATGGTTAGCATGTGTGCGCTGTATCATAAAGTCTGGCATTGAGTCAACTGGCGTGGTTTCGATTCCCCAGTTGTATGTGACAAGGAGTTGGGTTGTCTGTCCAACCTCCTGGGTTTTCTCCGGATCCTCCGGTTTCCTCCCACTGCTAAAGACCCCTACGCACAAGGGAATTATTGAAATAAAATTAAACCATATGTTAGTCCCGAAATGACCCAGTTTGTGTCGAGTGGACGTTAAACTCCATTTCTTTCTAACGACGTGGTTCCCCCTTGTCAGTGATGGGACGAAAAACCGAAGTCCCGTGTACATTTTGGCGTGCACGTAAAAGATCCCTTGGCAGTTTGAATTCGATATAAGAGTAGACCGTAGCGCTGTTGCCCAGGCAAAATTTCCCTCATAGCACACTGTATGGCATATGCCTGTCTTCATTAGCCCAGTTTAGGAGCAGAACAGTAGGATGTTAAACCCCATTTCATTTCCATTTCTCTCTCTTTCTCTCTCTCAATAAGTTGATTGGCTTGGACACTGAACTTCTTTGTTAGTGGATGAGAGAGAGAAAAGTAAACTAAATAAATAAATATGGAGTCTTACACTAGAGAAAAAAATATAAAAAAATTGATTTAAAAAAAGACTAAAATGATAAAAGAATAAAGAAAAAATATCCTAAAAGCAAAGCACAGGGCAAAGTATAAACACAAAGTATAAAATATAAAATAAGAAGGAAAACTAAGAACATAAGAAGGAAAACTAAGAGAACTAAAAAAATAAGAAGGAAAACTAAGAAAATAAAAAGGAAAACTAAGAAAATAAGCTTATGCCATGTGAAGGTATAAGAAAGGAAGAGCAAAAATAAAAGGCAACCTTAAATTTACTTAGGACTAAAGGATCTTTGCAGTATCTAGCAGTCTTTCTGGATTTGAGAAGTCTTTTGGAGTCTGGAGTCTTGGCTATTCTACTTTATCTACGATAAACTCAGCAATAGGTTTGGAGCTCTGGTGCACTTAGGTGTTGTCAGTACGAGTACTAATTAACCCTGTATACTTCCATTGAAATGTGGTTATTTTATTGTCATCCGCCCGTACTGTGGACTCTCTAGAGGTTAAAGTTGATGTCCAGTTGACTCTATTTTTATACACCGTGTTTAATGTTATGAGATGGCACTACGGCCTACTCTTATATCTAAATTCAACTGCACGCCAATGTGTATGCGGGACGTCAGTTTTTCGACCCACCTGAACGACTATACGTTGTTCCTTGCCAGGCCCTTGGACCTGCAGTACTGATAAGGAGGAAGCACGCTGGAAAATCCCGATGAACTTTCTCGGCCAACGCAGGGAGCGAACGCGGGTCCCCCAGGGTGGTAGAATTGTATATAGGACATAAGGGGGGAGACCTACAGATTTCCAATAATTTGGTGGTATATTTCAGAGTTACGACATTATGGGCCCTGAAAATACCTCATCTGTTTTATCCCCCTAATGACAGCCAGCTTTCAATTGATTCGTTATCGACAAAATTACTTCTGCTTAAAAATTGTATGTACCACCTTTCTGACATTATTGCCAATACTATAGCCATACTTAAATGAAGTTGTTATTCTCACACACTAAATTGTTTTTACTTGTAGAGGTTGCAGTTGGTATCAACTATATTGGCTGTGCAAATTGTTGTGGACTGTTCATGAGCAAAGATGGTTTTAAAGGACATATTGAACTTTGTGATGGTGATCCACTGAAATCTCCATGTGAAGCCTTTGCTTGTTCCCGACAGAAATATCTTGAGTTTATAGCAAAAGACACGCTAATGCATCTAAAAGATGGCACAGATAATTACAGTATCGGCGACGTTGAAAAAACTATCAGCCCAAAAAGGAATAAAAATCAGAAAAGAAAAGATAATAAGAAAAGTAATAGCAAATTACCATTAGTTGCATGCTCACTAAACAATGCAATGCCTGAAAGTAGCCACGAAATGACATTAATACCACGTACTTATGAAGAGTCTACAAGTAATCCAGATGAAACATTATTGCACGACAGCCCCAACAGGGCATCTACTCATAATGTTGCTGGTGCTTTTGATTTGAATCTTTCTTCTGATGAGGAAAATGATAATAAATCAAAGATCTCAATTCCTCTACAATCAAAAATGTTAAAAGATGTGGAGTTGAGCATTGTTACTTGTAATAATCAAATTGTTCCCAAAGATCACAACACTGGTCTTCTAACAACCGCACTAGACCCACCATTATCAAGTTGCTACAGCTCAAGTTTATTAAACGATCAACAGTTTTCTCCAGGAGGATGGCCTCATTCTCTTCAAGGTCCTGCTTCCTTATCTAAAGACACCTTACACGACTCTAACAGTGCCCCGTCTTTAGAACCATACGGTGTTCCAGTGTCTGAAACCATACTTCAACAAGACCTAACAGTTAACGATATGAATGTCCAGTCTGCTGAAGTAGACAAAAAGACAGACCAGAGCCATTTATCTGAAAACGAACCGTTGATGATACAAGTTGATAATTTTCCAGATTCTTCTTCACAAACAGAAAAGGAATTTCATTCTGAGTTTGGGGGTGAAAAGGATAATGTTGGTTCTGATGATGTCCCAGAAGCATCACCTTGCAATGGTAGGTTTGGATATGGTTTGGACATGAAGACTGTTAAAACAGATACTGTACCCAAAACGGTTATTGAAACCCTTCAAGGATCAAATGCCGGTGACATTAATAAACTGATATCACAGTTAGAACAATCAATTAAATCCAGTGGTGGCAGTGAGCAGACTACAGAGTTAATTTCAGCCTGCAAGACCCCAACCTTGATCACAGTGAAATCTCCATCAACAGATTCCAATCACAGGTCAGAAAAGGTCCGCGAAGCTATCGTAATCTTTGACAATGACAAGTGTAGTTCTGGTGATGAATTAGTTATAGACGAAAGTCCTAAGATCATAAGATACAGACACAGATCACGGAGAAGAAGGAATCATAGGGCATCTCGAAGTCACAGACGAAGTGACCAAAGAGAATCACCAAGCTTTGCTGATGACGTCTGTCCACAAAAATCTAAATATAAGGCTTATTTTGATTATTGTGGTAGCCAGAAATCCAGAGGACATGCCGAAGTCCAAAATACATGTGTTTTTGTTAATGATATTTCTCTCACTGGTTCAAGTACATACAATAATGACTGCAAAGCCCCTACCAAATCTGTCAATAATGTCCAAACCGTTGTCGTTTACCCTCCTGGAACACCAATTTTAACTTATAACCTAGTATCAGACCAGAACACAGAAGATCTTAACAGCGATGATCCGTTAATTCTAAATTTAAAACCGTGTACAGAACGTTTCGAAGTTGGTGATACACATCAACCGTCCATTATTTATTCAAAACAATTTGCTGAAAATGTTCAAAATGGCTACAAGATACACGGGACATCAGTTGGTTGTGATGGTAACTTGAAAGAGAGATCCATACATGAACAATTAGTTAATTCCAAACCATCTGATGGAAACCATGAAGACGGCCTTGCACAGATCCGTTATGTCCCGGTAAAACCGGATAAAGATGCAGCTGCTCAAACAGATGTGATCATTATTGATGGAGATGAAGAAACAACCGACGAGGAAGCTTCTGTCGTTGACGATGAGATAGAAGCTGAAAATTTAGAACAACTCGATATTTCAAAATTGGTTGACAAACTGGCGCCCGTTCCAAGATACAAAACATCGACAAGAATGTCCGTTAGAAGGTCAAAAGCCAACACTAAAAAGGTGAAACAGGTGTATATTGATAAAATATTAACCAAATCGGCTGAGGACAATAGTGATAAACAATATTGTCAAATACAAATTAATGGATTACCAGTTCTTAAACGAATTACAAAGTTGTGTGGCAATAACACTGACAGCAAGGTTGAAGAACCCGAAGTTAAAAAGATTAAAATGTACGACAAAGGTAGCAAAACTAAAGATTCCGTCGTTTATGAGTTTTTAGATCCTATCTCTAAAGTTGGGACTTCCGATATTCCCACGGAATCTATGCAATCAGAGGTTAAGTCAAATCCCTTAGAAACATTAAAGGCTAGTTCAATCCCGGTAAACTCAAGTCCACAGTGCGAACCACGAGGAATAAGAAAAACTGGCGTAAGGAGGTCGTTAAGAACATTCCAGTGTCCTAAAAGCGGTTTTGAATATCGAAAGTCCTATTCAAAACGGAAGGACGAAATATTGCAACGAGACACATGCAAAAGCAATCAAAGTAAAGCTTTATGCCAGGAAGTGGAAAGGACATCGCCAGATGTGAAATTTCAAACGAAAAGTACCAAAGATCTTGCTAAAGATTCAAGCAGAAAATATCATCAAGTAGATATGCCAAGTGAAGATCAGTATATGACGGAAATGGCAAAGGGGCGGGTTGTCTATATTTGTAAACTCTGTCAACAAAAATTACTAAGTCTAGTTAAGCTCCGGAATCATCTCACAGTCACTCACAACAATGGCGGAGTGTTTTCTTGTGATCACTGTAACTTTACGACCCCCTACAGGAGGCGATGGAAAGCCCACGTGAAACGCCATACCAAAGACAAAAATATCTGCCCTTATTGTCCTACTTTCTATGTAGATAATTCATCTTTGAACAGACACATCAACATGAAACATTTCGGTAAGATAACTTTGTTGCTCACTCTTTTATACTTATTCACACATTCATCTCAACTAAACTAGATTACCACAATGGTTTACTATACGGCTTGCAAGACTATCAGATTAACAAACTACAACATGTTCAAAATTGAGTAGCTTGACTCCTCACTAAAACTTGATAACACCAACATATCTCCCCGGTATCGCAATCTTTGCATTGGCTCCCAATTCAACAAAGAATTTTAATTCTTAAAAGTTCAAGTTACTCCTCTTCTTCTTCAAAGCCTCAAACGGTCAAGCTCCATCTTATATAAGAAGTCTTGTAAACCCCCACAGAATAAAACATCTTCTAAAATCTCCAGAAAAGGTGCCCTTTCTTATGCCGATCCTTTTCTATAGAATAGACTACCGCAGTCAATGAAACAATTAGCGTCTATGGGCCATTTTAAATCTCAACTCAAAACATTCTTGTTTGAAAACTCTGATCTGTAAATAATCAGTGAATATAAAAACCCAAAAAATCAGCGCCATAGAAACTTTTTTTTTTCAGTATTAATACGCTTTATAAATGACGATATCATTATTATTATTATACACCCACACTTAAAGTCTATGTGTTTCATTTGCCTTCTCCGTCTTATTAAATAAAGCCTTGTTGACTAAGGTAACCGTAACCAGCGTCCTTTATTTTCTCTTACAGAACAGTCAAACTATAGATGCAGCGAATGTGGTTTTATTGCCATGGATAATCCGTTGTTAGCTGATCATATGAGAACTCATACAGGTTTGTAGTTTACAATACATGAATAATAAACATCAGGCAATTTATTTTAAACATGGTGTGCCTAATAATTTCATTATTATACATCTATCAAATGTAAGTCCATGTTTCTGTGCTGCCAGAAAAGACGTAACATTCGTTGTTGTTTAAAAACGTTGATCACATTTAATCTTTTGGTGCCACGTTTGTAAAATGACACCTAAACGAAAGTAGGTGCTGTGTTTTTTGTATACGCCCACATTTAATGTGGACGCATCATATCGTCTGCCATGATGGCGACAAAAGGTCGTTCAGAGATCTGGGTTGATTTCGAATTTATGTCAAAAATAGCAAATGAAGGCGGTATATTTTGTATTTCTAACCTCCTTATAGCCCTGAATTATAGCCTTTGTTTTAGCAAATGTGTAGTAAATACATGCTACATATCAATATAATATCCATAAAACCTACTTTTATTATAATTGCTATTTTGCAGGAGAACTTCTGGTTTGTAGTTTTGAAGGATGTGACTTCAAAACACCAAGTCTGAGAGCCCATCGTGAACATGAACGGGGTCATGAACCAGACTTTTTATGTGTTACTTGTGGATATTCTACCAGCAATAAACAGACTTTTAATGGTCATCTTTTAACACACCAGAGCATTAAAGCGTACCAATGTTCTCTTTGTCCGCATAGAGCGAAAACCAAACAACACATATTAAGACACGCGTCCTCCGTTCATTTTGATGTTCAGACCTACGCCTGTGATAGATGTTCGTTTAAAACTTCTTACCAAGCCGCACTGACATGTCATGTTTTAAGCCACGAGGGATTGCGGCCATTTAAGTGTTCAATATGTGATTACCAGACTAATTCAACTTCTCTAGTGTATCGCCATGGCCGGACCGCACACACCAATCAAACGGTTACGGCCGTTAAAGTGGTAGACAATATTCCAGTTATAAAAGGTTCTGATTACTTGAATCCTCATACAAAACCGTTTGATCCCAGATTGTTTGAAATTTTGGAAGTTGATAATTTAAGTTTGAATAAGTCTCGAAATGAAATGGACAAAAACCACAAAAAATGATATTCTTATTTTCGTTGATTATTTCCTCGCTGATTAAAATAAATATTCTTACAGCATTTTGATAGCCTGTCTGTTTGTTTATTTACTGATAAATCTACACGTATCATCAATGTTATCTGTAGAATGCAAGTATTGAAGTTAGAGGGCACCTATTTAAGCAGGTAATTGTTGAAACAATTTATTTAGAATAGGTGACTAACTTCAAGCAAAAAAAATAAATAAATAACAGACTACTTGTTAAATCGTCCAACTTAACCCCAGGTTGATATAGATGGAGAGGCGGTACTAAGAACTCACAGTTACAGCACTAATTGGCTCTTTTAAAATTCGCTGGCCTATATTGTTTTACCGCCATCGAATCTTCGTCGTTTTCATGGTTTAATTTTTGTACGCCCACATTGAAATGTGGTCGTATATTGTCGTAGCCCCCGTCCGTCCGTCCGTCCAGCGACGCACTAGAGGCTAAAGTTAATATTTATACACAGTGTTTAAGGTCAAGAGACGAAGAAGCCTATTGATTTTCAGCGATTTCCCATAATTACTGCCAGAGTTATGGCCCTTGATCACTTTGAAAAATCTTGTGGACGCTCTAGACGCTCAAGTTAATATCCGAGGTCCGAGGTCAAAGTTTATATCCGATTGACTTTAAATTTATACACAGTGTTTGGAGCCATGAGATAAGAAGCCTATTGATTTTCAGCAATGTCCGATAATTACTGCCAGAGTTATGACCCTTGATCACTTCAAAAAATCTTGTGGACGCTCTAGAGGTCAAAGTTTATATCCGATTGACTTTAAATTTATACACATTGCTTAAGGTCATGAGATGAAGAAGCCTATTGATTTTCAGCAATTTCCGATAATTACTGCCAGAGTTATGACCCTTGATCACTTCAAAAAATCTTGTGGACGCTCTAGAGGTCAAAGTTTATATCCGATTGACTTTAAATTTATACACAGTGTTTAAGGTCATGAGATGAAGAGGCCTATTGATTTTCAGCAATTTCCGATAATTACTGTCAGAGTTATGGCCCTTGATCACTTCAAAAAATCTTGTGAACGCTCAGAATCCAAAGTTAATATCCGATTGACTTTAAATTTATACACAGCGTTTAAGGTCATGAGACAAAGAAGCATATTCATTTTCAGCGATTTCCGATATTTACTGCCAGAGTTATGGCCCTTGATCACTTTGAAAAATCTTGAGGACGCTCTAGAGGCTCAAGTTAGTATCCGATTGACTTTAAATTTATACACAGTGTTTAAGGTCATGAGACGAAGAAGTCTATTCATTTTCAGCGATTTTCTATAATTACTGCCAGAGTTATGGCCCTTGATCACTTCAAAATATCTTGTAAATGCTCTAGAGGCTAGAGTTAATATCTGATTGACTTTATAGTTATACATAGTGTTTGAGTTCATGAGACGAAGAATCAATTTGATTTTCAACGATTTCCGATATGGCCCTTGATCACTTGTGATCTTGTGACGCTCTAGAAGCTAAAGTTATCATCCGATTGACTTCAGATTGAGTTTAAGGTCTTGAGATGAACAAGTATATTGATTTTCAATTAACTTTTATGACTTGAACAGCTAAATCCATGATGTTAAAAGTTCCATATACTTAACGTTTTAAAAACAAAACAAATTCTAATGGTTTTCTGAGAATTACTTAATAAGTTGTTACTCTTGATCAGATTTTAATGTATTATAAATGTTTCATTACCGAAAAAAGTAAAAATATGTGACAACTCTTGTTGACTGCCCGGACGATTTAGCTGCTGTGGGCGTATGTTTCGTTAACTGGCAACCTATCTTTAACAATTTCTCGGGACAACGTTGCACATTTATCTGTCAGTTGTAACTCCCCATGGAAATGAAATGAAATGGGGTTTGAAGTCGGACATACGCCATGCAGTGTGCTAAGAGAGAATTTTTGCCAGAACAACAATGCGACCTACTCTTATTTTGAATTCCAAATGTCAAGAAACTAAAAAGACGCGAGATATAATTTTTGTATGTAAACGACCTGTATAGGTTAGTGTGTATATGATTATATATCTTTGTTCTACTAACCAAAATGTATACAACAACTGGAAGGAGTGTTTCTTTCCACCTGTCATTTCTCAGTGGCATATTGTCATACACGTATCACAAGCAAGGGAGATAATCATTGGTAATACGAAATGGACGGAGTATGAAAGCTTTTGAAATGATTCTGGTATATTTTATATTTTTGATTGGGGGTAAGTGTAACTAAAATATATGATCGTTATATCAATTTAAAATACAGATGTGACGTCACCCTTTGATGTTGGCGTACCATTATTTCAAATAATCGTACGGGCAACTTGCCAATAGTACTTTATTCATACCAGTGAGATATTGGACTAGTGTGACGTAAAAGCTCGTGCGGAGTGTCAGTATTTTAAGATGTTTAATGGTCTCGAGCTTACGACATTGCGTAATATATTGTAAAAACATTCGAGCCTACGGCCCTCATGTTGTTACAATATATTACTTAATGTCTCGCTCTCGACCATTAAACAATACATAAGAATAAAAATAATTGCTTCATATGTCATATCTATTCCCAAATTATTTATAGATTACATGCAGACATGCTTAGATTGTAGACGCTTTCGTTTCCCGTAAATACCAGTGCAATGAAATGAAAAGAAATGGGGTTTAACGTCCTACTGTTCTGCTCCGACTGGGCTAATGAAGACGGGTACGCCATAGAGTGTGCTATGACTAGTATGAGGGAAATTTTGTCCGGGCAGCGGCACTATGACCTACCCTTATATCGAATTCCAACTACCAAGGGATATTTTACGTAGAGCCAATTTATACACGGGTCCTCGGTTTTTTGTCCCATCCGAACGACTAGACAGCTGTCCTTGTCAGGCCCTCCGTCCTGCACCACTGACAAGGGGAAACCACGTCGGAAAATCCTGCTGAACTTTCTCGGCCAATGCAGGGATCGAACAAATTCCAATGCAAGGTATCCATTTCCAGGTATGCCACTGTTTATCATGGTATTTATTGTACCAGTTCATTTCGGGGTTGTTTTTTTTTTTGGTTTTTTTTAAAATAATTTTCAAAGTTGTTTGTTCAGGTCATTATGCCTCGACGATGTGTCCGGTATGTTCTAACATTTCATCAATACATGTTCCAACCGGGTAAGTAATGTCTTCCGCATACTGCAACAATGCAATTCGAAACATTCCCAGGGCGTAAACCGTGTATCATTATTGTACCCATTATTATAATCCGTTTTATTGAATTAGTAGAATTCTGGTTTAGGATAAGGGAAATGAATGGGATTTAACGTCCTACTGTTCTGCTCCGACTGGGCAGATGAAGACGGGATTTAGGATTATCATTATAATCCGTTTTATTCAATTAGTGCAAACATGCACTATTGCTTCAACATGATATTTAAAGATGCATTATGTAAGAGCTAAATCTGCCTATTGCAAGTCTTTATTTTGGCCTTAAATGTTATATAAATTATTAAGTAGACATTTACAAACATGACAAGACCAAACTGAACTCTCTGGAACATCGGATGCTTGCGATTTTCAATGGATTTAATCAAGATTGTCTTTTGATAATTTATCTAAAAATGGATAAACGGAAGAAATGCCAATTGAGACTCCGCTATTCTCCATACAGCCATATCAGCTCAGAATGCAGTGTAAATTTGAATGATATTTCAATAACTATTTTCAAACTATTATATCGAGAGCTGTCAGCGCTTCATCTAAATCTTACATCATGCATACTATTATGCATACCTGGCGTTTAATTTTTTAATTTTTTTACTTTTATTCTTATAGATATAGTAAAATATTCTATTTACAAAGTACCGAACATATTGAAAACCCACATCGCGGTTTTATGCCACAGATTAACTCTTACGCTTCTGATTACAAACTTCTTACCGTAAGTAGTACCTGTGCAGTTTTTTATCTCTCACATTAAATACAGTAAGGGATTAAAGGTACAATTAAAACACCCCAAAAATAATGTAATTTATCGAGAATCCAAGAAATGGAATGGAGTCTTAATACATATTCTAGAATCAAGGACCAATCGAAGGATAATAACTTTGGTCCATATTGTCGCTGATGGTCATTTTTCGTCTTATTGTTCACGGCTTAATCCAGTCTAAATTCTACTCAAATTGTTTATTTAACATTTAATTAGGAAACACAATTGAAACATTCACTGGAGATGATCCCCGGGTTTGGATCCAATCGGATTGTATTTGGGCTCGTCGAAGGATTTCAGCAAAAAATCTAGGTGGCGCTGGCCCGTGTTTTCTATATCGTCTGCAATGGATGTAAAATGTTGAAATTTTTCCAATTCCTATCAGTGATTCCCAATATTTTAGTTTGCAAAGGATTAACAGTCTCGCAACTGGCGATCGGCGGCTTTAAGATTCAATACCCTCTTGAAAATCAATTGATTTATGAAAGTTGTTTCAGGGTTTGAATTTTGGGTTTTTTTTATTTTTTAAAGCAGGCTGATTATTTTGAAAGAACAGATTGGCGAACAGATATTTTTAATCATGCTTGTATTTTGTTTTTGAATCTGGTTGATTGTTTATATTGGATAGGTAGGGGAATTAGATTCTGTACGTGCGAGTAATGGTACCAGTATGATTTGGAGATATTTTGTGTTGGATTTGTTTGTATCGTCACATATCTCAGATGAGTATCTAAAAACCATAGACAATGATTTATACACAATAAGATATGCTGGTTATACCGCTGTCATACGATTCTGCTATACATTTAAATTTGTAAGTATATCTCTATGATATCATGTATTTTTATGGATAAAAGTAAAGTTTTATTTTCGAGGAGTGGGGTAGAGGGTAAGAAATTAGGCCACTTTGGGACTTAATACGGTATTATCACACAGGAACAAATGAAACACGTTTATTCTACGAAAGAAACCCTTGTAATATCCATATTCTCTATTATACTAGACGCCAAAAGCACCATACGGTGATGCCAATAAATACTGGATACTAGAACACATAAAACAACTAAAACCAATCCTACAGAAATATGAAGGGATTCTAACTTCTGTTGAAGCCGGATTTATTGGAATTTGGGGTAAGCTTCATCTAACTCATCAACTTTAAAGGAAATTTTCAGCTTCTTATGCATCAACATACGTTTCAAATCTAAAAATGTAATAAAGTGTTGTAGCACAATAAAAAAAAATCGCACAGAAAACACAGAAACAAACATGATTTGAAAGTACTATGTAACATCTTTATGTTTTCTTCTTGTGGTCACTTATAGGCCCAATGAACTGTATTTAAGTTGGCGTAATTGAATGGCGTTCATATTGTGTTGTCATCCGGGTTTGTACGACTTTCTTTGACTGGTTTCGGTTGATACATGATAGTTAACGACCAGTAGTGCACATATTTCATATTAACAGGCGAATGGTTCTACACTACATATTTTGGAGATCCAAATAAACGAGATTATAAAAAGTGGCCAAAATATGGATATCCTTTAAGCATATGGTACGATAGAAAAGATGTGCTAGAAGCTGTCCTTGGTGCTATTCCCAAAACCACGTAAATAATTCCTTTATTAATTTATTGTAGACTTTGACTATAAACACCCACGACATCTGATGATAAAATACATATATTTAGTTCGAAAATGGACATGTAAATGAGCGTAAAATTACCTGTTTTTATACCGTGTCATTTTTTAATAGACAGGTTCAACTGAGATATCCTAATCTTAAAGTTGATATGTGGAATTCTGAGATACCAACAGATTATTCCGATGTTCTTCAACAAAACAATAAATCAAGGACAGGTAGAATGTGTATCAGTTTTATCAAAATTTCATTTTATTTTTGATTTTGTACATCTGACACATTTTCTTTGAAGCGGGAAATGTTTCAGGTTATCTGTATTCGTATGCAGTGTGGCATTTTGGTGGGGACAACTCCCAACTGTAACAGAACGGGTGGTTGTGCATAATTACCGGTTCTCTAACAAATGAGAGATTCGACATAACGGTTAGACATTTATGTACTCGTATATATTAACCTCACTGTTGCATCTCGGATCCTTACTCGAGCCAGGTGTCAAATACTCGTGTCACTGAATAAGAACTTTATCCCCGTTCTCCAGCCGAACAAGGTCTAATTTACCGGTGTTCTAATCTCTTTAAAACCCAGGGATCGTAAGCCCTGCTATCAATTTACAAACAGACATGGAATTTGACAGTCTAAGTATTTTCTTATAATTATTTTGGTTGCTTTTTATCTTTTATTTATTAAAGGTCATCACAATGATTGTTTTGTTTCTTCTGATGATGATGTAGGAACGTATCACAATAAGTCATTTGAATATCCATATTTACATAATGATACTAGATACTGTGTTGTTGGCGGTGAAACATGTCGTTTAACAACAAATGATAGGTAAATCATAAATCTATTATTAGCGTTAAAATTATAAAATGGCACATAAAGAATTAATTAAGGATACATTATGTAAGATTAAGAATGTAAGATTAAGATAAAGAGTAGGCCGTGTTTGCTATAATAGTTAAACAACGAGAAATGAATATATTGAAAACTTAAGATAAAATTACTCTATTCTGAGTGAACTTATGAGTGATTGAAGTTTTTGTAAGATATTTTCGATTGTCAAGTACGATTGCTACGATAATAAACCAAGTTTCGATTATCCAGTTCATCGTTACATTATTAAATGGTGAAGATGTTATAATCCATTCAATATCTGAGACACCAGAGAGTTGATTATGGATTTGGAAGATTTAGCTGTTATATAATGCATCTTTTAAGCAATTCTGACAGACTTTTTTATTTGTGTTACAGGGATGAATGCCCAACTGCTCTCCATGAAATGGAATATTTCCATTGGTCTTTTCTCAACCAAGATTTTAAAACTGCCATACTTGATTTGTGGAAACAAGAAGGTTGTTATGAAGAAGTTCACAGACGTTTAGGTTATAGACTTGCCCTACAACAGGTTTGTTTCAGAGAAAAAAAACCCATTGGAACAAATGAATTATCATTCAGCTTCTATGTGGGTTACAGCTGATAAAATGTTGTATACGTTCGCCAACCCAATTCTGAGAAAATGACATCAAATGGTAAAAGTAATCAAGTTCATAAGAATTGTCTTCATATAAAATTTAATGATCAACTGCAAGATATGTCATAAGTTATGGGTACTTAGAATAAAACAAACACTGAACATCACCAATTAAATTGTTTAAATACAAAAGTATGAATAATTGTAAAACCCGGATGATAAATGAAATGACAACAGTAAATGATTATAGTAAGTTGTTGAGATGTGACATAAGAACTGAACCCAATTGGCGAAAATTGATATATTTTGATCTTTTTAAGGCTATTTTACCAGACTCTGTCAACCCGGGAGGAACTCTATGTTATCAGTTTACAATAGACAGTATAGGTTTTGCTGCTCCTGTAAAAGCAATGAACGTATTTCTTTTACTCCGTTCTCATCTCAGGTTTGTAATATATCATAAAATATATTTCCTTGATTAACATTTCAAGTTGATATAAAGTTGGGTTTCAAGCGAATTAAAGCAATACAAAATACAGTATCGTGTTCTATTGCAGAGGATATTTTTATGCCGCTATGTTACCACACGATGTCAGAACATGGATTCCATATGAAAGCTACAGTTTGAGTGGAAGTATTCATGTTCCTGCCAACTTTACAACTGATAGCTATGAAGTAAGTTCCGGTTAAGATATTTTACCCCCAAAAAATTTCATAACAATATTCTTCAATTAAGGGAAGCACTTAACCTGCGATACCTATAATTTTCCAAAAGTTTATCGCTGAAAGGGGACGGACAGTCTTTTTTTTATATCAATCTGATTAAAATACAGATCTATATTTCGTTTCGTTTTTTTTATACTTTCGATGGCCTACACTACATGAAGATCTGAAAAGTTGTACTCGAAGGTCGTGCCAGGGGTCGTTCGAGCGGCTTTTGACCCTATGACGTCAGACATTGATTAATCCAAAGACAAGTAAAACGAAATTTTTAACTATAAAAAACGAAACGAAATAGAATCTGTGTTTTAATCAGATTTTTATTTCAGCCAACTGCTGAAAGTAGATAAAGTACAAGAACTTCTATGTTTAAGGTAGATATATATGTACATAAATATATACGCTTGCCGATAGTATAGAAATGATTTTATCTGTGAAAAAAACGAACTTTATAAATCTCGCATTTCTGTGTTTTTTATGATCATAAATTTCATAATATTAACCTGCGGTACTGATGAGATCCCAATTTATGAATTACTAGCAGGATACCCGGCTTCGCTCGGGGGTCATAACTCCGAAACCGGAAGTGGTAGACTAACGCCACCTGGCCTATGTTATTCCCCTGTCCGAGCTACCCCTATACCCCAAATTTCAGACTCGGGGCAGACCTAGTGTAGCCACGAACCCCCAACAGACCGGCTTCGTTCGGGGGTCATAACTCTGAAACCGGAAGTGGTAGACTAACGCCACCTGGCCCATGTTACTCCCCGGTCCGAGCTACCTCTATACCCCAAATTTCAGACTCGGGGCAGACCTAGTGTAGCCGCCAACCCCCGAACAGACAGACAGACAGATACCCGGCTTCGCTCAGGGGTCATAACTCCGAAACCGGAAGTGGTAGACTAACGCAACCTGGCCTATGCTACTCCCCGGTCCGAGCTACCCCTATACCCCAAATTTCAGATTCGGGGCAGACCTAGTGTAGCCGCCAACTCCGAACAGACCGGATTCGCTCGGCGGTCATATCTCCGAAACCGGAAGTGATAGACTAACGCCACCTGGCCTATGTTACTCCCCGGTCCGAGCTACCCCTATACCCCAAATTTCAGACTCGGGGCAGACCTAGTGTAGCCGCCAACCCCGAACAGACAGACAGACACAGACAGACAAACGACAGTCACAAATATATATATAGATTTGAATAAAAATATTAGCGTCGTCTGTGATATTTATAAAACCAAAATTTAAAAATCGACAGCACTGTAATATGTCGCATTCGTGACCTTTATATCGGCAACATTGTCCAGTATGTTAAAAGTTACGGGTAAATGGAATTTCAGTTGGATTCTTTCGTATGCTCGAATGAACAATCCAGTCAGCTTTTAAAAATTCTCTGTTAGTAGATTTCGTGAGTTTTAACGTCACCCGATGATCACTCCGTCATACGATAAATTAAATATTATTCCACCTGGTTCTTCGGTCTGATTGTGGACGGCCGTCGGAAGCAGGTGACGATAATATACGCCCACAATAAAAATTAATGTGAACTGAATAGCATTGTCTTTTGGTATGGTTGTGAATACACATGATGCCGTGTTTTTCAGGTGTATTTGGCGATTGGAGACAAGATATTAACAGATCATTCTGATTATTATATACTTTTGGCTAACCAAAATGTTCCTGTTTATTATTCTGGTTATAATAATCTGCATCATACAATAACGGTAAATAAACTAGTACTACATCATACATTATTGAAAGGCCAGTGTCTACAGATTTTACACTTTGGTTAAGAGAGAGAGAGAGAAATCGGGTTTAACGTCCACTCGACACAAACTAGGTCATTTCGGGACTTACATATTGTTTAATTTTATTTTAGCAGTGGGAGGAAACCAGAGGACCCGGAGAAAACCCACGAGGTTGGACAGGCGACCCATCTCCTTGCCACGTACAACCGGGGATTCGAAACCATGCCAGTCGACTCAATGACAGACTTTATGACACAGCGCGCGCACGCTAACCATTCAGCCATCCAACCCCCCACTTTGGTTAAACACATATATTATACAATGAAAATAAACAGGTTTATTTGTTATAACAATCTGTACATAATGCGGAAATTATTATACTCGACAGAAGTTTTAAAAATAGCGGAAAATACGGAATTCTGCGAATAAAAAAATATTTTTCCTATGGAGGTATTTAGAGATGTGCAAGGTGGCCAAGGTCGGCCCGTGATTTTTTTTTTTGATTTTTTTTTTAAATAGATTTCTTTATGTTTATTTCTTGACCTTTTGCATCTACATGTTTATTTACATGCAGGTTACCAGTCAACACTCGGATGATCCTACTGGATGTGCTACATTAGAATATTGGGTACCACCTGCACAGAGTTTTAATTCCCGAGTTTTCCACGGTATAAATAAATTGTTTTTTTTAACCCAAGAAGCTGGGCAGTGCATCATAGTAATGTGTTTTCCTGCTCGATATGCATTGTACAGAGATGGGCAAAATAAATTTCCTATAACGACAGCAATGATAGTATCGTGCGCAATCTCTAAACTTTTTGATTTCTTTTCCAGGAAACTACACTATATGAATAGAAGACACCTGACCATTGATTTCCCACAAAATAAGAATTAGCAATAGAATGTTTTCGAGATTAAAACAATTATCATCTACAGTGAGAATTATCAGTCAATACACCGGTTGAATAACACGAAGCCCTAGCACTAATTTTGTAGGGGCTAATAAAAGTAAACACCGGTAAGCCAATTGATAAATGGTATTACATTACCAGAAAACAATCCTTTTTATATTACTAAGATGGAAAGATATAACCGATATTAAATAATACCAGAAATCTAGGGCACTATTTCTCAATATAGAAATATGGCTGAAGTACAATAACAGAAAGGCAAGCAATAATTCTACAGTAACGGCAAAAGGGGTGAATACAAAATATTTCTCTTTTCAAATACATAGAAGAAGGCGAAATATATGGTACAATAGTCGATTAATTCCTACATAATCATTGGCAAATAGTTATGTGGTCTACCAGCATCAGACGTAGAAAGAGTTGCGCAGATCAACACATTATCCTTATTCTATTTACGCGTATACCAAACTTTATATTATTTTTTTCAGTTTGGTACGATTATTCTCGATATAAATCGCTGATTATTTGTGGTAGTAATATTAAAATCTTATTTCATAGGCTGTAAATTAATTATTACTAAACCACACATAAACATACCATAAAAAAATCAGTGGAAAGCTATGCGGAATGCCAGCTTTTGCCCATAGTTTTATGCTCTTAGCTAATTGCAGGCTTTAAAGAATCATTATGAGAGATTTAGGGAAACTTTTATCGGGTTTCAGACAAACTAAACTTTAATATATCAGGATAGAAAGCTGTAAATAACAAGAACCTATATCGTTTAACGTCTGTAGTTCCAAAACTAGTGATATCGTAGACAATGTGCATAACTCTCTTGTCAGGCTATTGTCAATCTATTGGCAGCCTCCTATGGCCTAGAGGGTTGATTATGGCGTGGCATGTCTACTGTCTGTTCCAGGTGATACTACGACTCGAAAATTGCTTTCTGTCTTGTGAGAACGAAGTTTAGATCAAGCTATCCTCCCTTGCAAAATTATGGTTTGTTGACATCTTGTCTTGGTACCGAAAACAGCCATGTTTGGCCTAGTTATCTGGAAGATCCTGAGTGGACAAAAAGTTCTGGGTTGGCTTTAAGTCGTTTCGCCCTTCTCGGATGTGTAAGTGGTTGTTTTGGTTCAGTAGAATATAACTCTTTTGAAACAGTTATTTACTGGGTACCAGACCACGGTTTTTTGTCCCACTGACTTGAATATTTAATTGCCCCCCCCCCCCGTACGAGGGTTGTAACTTTATGATATCGATATAAGCTACATGCAAATTTTAACCCGCTACTGTGCTGACATGTGATGGGATTTTGGAAGGAGGCTGCAGGACATACACAAAATAACTTGGTCCATAATATCCATTGGTTATGTCGGTTTGCATTGTTCAGTGGCTTAAAATTTTCCTTGAGAACTGTTGGAAATTTTAAACTTGAGCTAAGACTGGTATTGTGATAAACTAATTTTCTATGTAGCTTAATTCCTAATGAAACCTTCAACAAAAATAAAACTACTATTTATATAATATTATTAAGGCAGTTATTAAATCAATAACACGGCATATGTTTCTGCTATGTAAAGAATTAGATAAAGAGCTGACAGTCTAAATATAATGATTTAAAAATAGATAATGACAAAGGAATATTGACACTTTGGTAAAATTAAATAAATCTGTGCGAAGTTATAAATGTTGGAAATTTTGATAAGAAAAGCGTCGTCTCGATTTCCATTGCTACTGTTTTTACGATATAATAAAAAGTCTCGATTAAATTATTCATTTTTAAATTAATTATTGGTAGCAATGCAATACTATGAATATCAAGGATGTAATGAACAGTATAAAAAATTAAAATACTGTTAACCAAAAAATATTGAAGTGTGAAAACCCTGCAAAGTGACTAATGATAAATCAGCGATCTCTCGGCAATGGATAAAGTTGGAGATTATTTTGTGATATCTGCCTGGTCGTATATTTGCATACAATTTGTCTATTTCTCGGCAAAGGACAAAGTTAAAAATTATTTTATGATATCAAAATGGTCGTATACCTGCATACTATTATTTAGTAATACATATAGATAGTAAATAGTATTAGTAAAGGGTAGCGAATAACAATCTTTAGAACGAATATTTGTTTTAAAAGATACAAATATAGTTTCTTTTTTCAAAATCGCGTCACTTCCGGTAATATTGTATATTTTGGATTGAATGGCGGTTTGTATAAGTTATCAAATGGTATAATGTCTATTAAACTATCGATAAATGTGTTGTGCGCAAAACAACGTAAAGGGTTACTCTTGAACAATTGACTATTTCTTGGCAATGACTCAAGTTAGAAACCATCTTTTGATGTATATATGTTCGCAAAAATACAATGTTTGCCATAAGGACGTCATTTTCAATGACCAATTAGTTACATCTAAGAAATATTCACAGAATGGTGCAAATGTTTATGAAAATCAAACAACCATTTATTCTTTTATGGGCATAAAAAGTTGAAAAGTGATTCCCACAACATTGCCTATTTCCCGGACATGTCAACCAGCGGCTGCCAGGCATGACACGCCCACATTTTGCAAGAGATGGATAGAGAACAAGCTAAACAAAAAGCGATTTTTCGTAACATCAAGGGCCATAATTCAGGAAGGTACATTATATATGCGCGAATATCGACAGGAACCAAGATCTTTGGGCTATAAACATGCATTTCAAGTTTCATCAAAATCGAATCAAAATTAGAAGATAATTGTGACCTCTAGAGGGTCCACAACCTTGATATACCAGATGTTTACACTATTTGCGTAGAGGGGCGGCAATTTTGTCTTGTAGATTCGAACTCAATCGTCATTAAGGTGTAACGGTGATATATTCAAACGGTTGGTTAAATCGGAATAAAATTAGTACCTCCTTAGGGTCCACAAGCTAAAAAAAACGTGATTTTTTGTGCAATCAGGGGCCATAATTCAAGAAGTTACAGTCCTATATGCGCGAATATCGAAAGGTACCAATATCTTTGGGTTATAAACTTACATTTGAAATTTCAACAAAATCAGATAAAAATTGCGAACTTTACAGGGTTCACAAACTAAAAACGCGATTTTTCGTACAATCAGGGGCCATAATCGCAAAATAAACGGGCGAATTCTCCTTCACTAGACATTTCTAACCGAATGCACCAAATTAGTAAAGTACCTGTCTACCCTAATGCGATATGCAAGTGTTCATTTAACGCACGCCTAGTTGTAATGTTTATGTTCTGAGAAAGTGACAATGTCTAAATATGTGAAATTTACAAGAGAAAACTGGATTTTATCGGACGTCTAGTCATTTAGGCTAAGGGAAGAAATCAAAGGGATGAAAATTCCAGGTATGTCACAAAGTTTTAGCCATTTTAATTAAAAGATGAAGTATCGCCTGGAACAGACAGTCGGTGATAATTTATATATAATTTGAAGTCAGAAAAGTGGCCTGTAGTAAGCCTAGCAATGCATATTGACTCTTTAAATAGAGTATTGGTTAGTAATATATCCTGACAAAAAAGTTTAGTGACAATTACTGAGAAAACACTGTGTTACTGCATACTGTTCATCCGGATTTTCCGGCGTGGTTATCCGTTCCGTTGTCAGTGGTGCGATAAACCGAGGTCCCGTGTACACATTGGCGTGCACCTAAAAGGTCCCTTGGCAGTTGGAATTCGATATAAGAGTAGGCCATATCGCCGAAGTCTGGGCAAAATTTCTCCCACACACTATAACGTTAAATCCCATTTCCTTTCATTACTGCATGCTGAATTTCGCATTTGTTATCATTATACTGCCAATATGTATTTCTCTCCATACTAATTGCTAGAAATACATCTACCAATTTTAATCATTTGTTAAAAAACCACAATCTCTAATCACTAATATTGTATTTGAATTCCTTCAACGTTCTGTCTTATTTTTCACCCTGTTGCTAGGTTTTATCCACAATTTATTATATATGTACCAAACCCATTTACTTTCCCAGGTATACTGCTTATTTCGTTTGGGTGACAATTTCTCACCAATTTATGAGGCATTTTCCCTCCCGGATAATAGAAGCTTGATTCTAAAAGAAATCTCTTTTCCTTACAACTTGTAGTCTGTGACAGTAACGCTACTATTCACTGATCATTATCATGTATTCCCATAATGTTAAAAGTATTAAATCTGGCCAAAGTATCGGTTTGGACAGGCGGATTCACTACTACTACGATGACGCTATAATGACATATTGCAATGTTATAATGTGAAATTAATATGCACAACATGCAGTAGCGGATTATATTGGAGCGAGAATAAAATTGAAAATCTCCAAAAATAAAACTGAAAGAAAATCCTGTATTTGTGGAGAAAATTTGATATGGACCCCGTGTGGCAGAGGGCCCGCGTCCAATGGAGGAGCCCCCAGTCCAAGAAAAGAGCCCCTGAATCAGAAAAGGCCCCTTTCGACTTCAATGCAAGGGCCCCCCGAGTTCAATAAAATAGAATTGAAAATCTCCAAAAAATAAAACCAAAAGAATACGCTGAATTCGGAGAGAAAATTTCATATGGACACCGTGTGGCAGGATCCCCGAGTGCAATCGAGGGACCACCAGCCCAAGACTATGATCCCTAATTCAGTGCAAGAGCCCCGAATCCAAGAAAAGGGTCTCTGAATCTGAGAAAAGGGCCCCTGTACAATAAAAGGCAGATCCGACACCCAATCATTCATCACTGCCGTTATGCGCAGGTCAAGTTCTCATTTGTTTCATTAGCACGTACAGTGCGCTGAATATTCTGGGTATTCGTTAGCGTTCGTTATGGTGCATCCTCGGTATCCCCAGTGGTATCGTTCTGTACCGCTAGGTTCTTCAATAGCTAATAGGTCTGCTAATTCCCTTGTTGGTATCTCAACAATTCTTAATCGCAGGGGCACGAGGAAATAAACACCATGTTTTCGATATATTCATATTATACAAAAGATTCAAATTTGTATAGTTATGTTTTCTTCAGTGAAAACTACCTGTAATTAAAATAAAATATTCTAGGTTACAGAATGTTTTAGAAAATGCAAGTAAATAAAAATCTTAAACATGTAAATTCAATACACGATGACATGTGGCATTAGTGTGTCTTTCAGTCATTGTCCCACAACATTCGATTTTACTTGCATGTAGTTTACCCCAATATTGGAAATGATGACTGTGATAACTGAGACATCTTGAAAACCCATTAGAAATATGTGTATTATCTGTATTTTTATTTTGTCTTATCTACAACGTCTCAACGTATGGTTGAAATCATTTTGATTTGAGTTATAAACGATGTGATTTTTTGGAACTTTCTTCCACATTATTTTATGTCATCTGTTGTTTTAACTGCTTTGTTTTAAGCGGCAGTGTGAGTTATTAATGTTTCATTAATATTATTATTGTACTAATTGGTCAAAGGGAAATAAACTAGCATTTGCTGTAATTTACATGTATATATATAGATGTTGGATTTCAATTTTAATACTTTTAGTCAATAGTATCAACAGACTACATGTGAAATCAGAGACATAATTTAATGATTACCATAATCTAAACCACGAACCAAGTAAAAGTTACATCCAATATTCTAACAATTTTATCCATGCGTGTGTATGCATGCTGTTCTCGTTTATTAACGAAGCAATCATACCCAACCCTAAGGTTCTTCAAATATTTATAGATATAATCCCGACAAGCAGCACTTGCTAAGCCGGGGTTTATAATTTGCTAGGTAAGTAATGTGGTGATGATAAGATATATAGCAAACCTTTAAATACTCTAGAATAACGACTGTGTTTTGGCGGAGTCCAAGGAATGATGGAAGCACAAGAACCAGCGTCCCCAGAATGATGCGTATCAACCTGAAGCATATAAAATAAACATTTTATGTTCAGTACTCCAGTTGTAGGTGTTGACGTCCAAATTATAAAGCCTTAAAGAACTATATGTTGGCAGTAAAAATCTTATATTGGGGTAATCAAGACAAAGGGTCAATACAACCGAAAGACAAATTTGAATAAAACTTCAGTCAAATGATCACAATAATAATGCATGGAATACAGAAAAGAAAACAATAAACACTGGTCGAAAATCTTTTGGAATAAAGTACAACACATAGGGATAAGGGGTTTCAGAAGAGATTTTTGAAATATCTTGTGGAACTCTTTTAGTGGGAAAACTACGCACAAACAACTCTCAACCATGTTATAAATAGAAGTGAACTCTTTATCGCTTGCAATTGAAAAAGAGACGGTAAAATTTATATTTGATTATATGCCCATCAACCAGTTGCAATACAACAAACAGATGAAAACTGTGTGAATCTAACATCAGTGATTATTCGAACCTACGATTTTCAAGTTACATGTACATGTATATTCCTATTTAGATACCCGGTAGTGAAGTAGATCCGGAGGTTTCTATGGAAGAATAACCATATTCTGCCCCCGAAGAAAGACGCAACCAAAAATCTGCAACCAATCGACAGAATTGAGCGTGTTACCTTGATAGTATGATGAAGGTTATTTAGACCAGCAGAATGATCGGGTACATCTTTATTAGCCAATAAAACGTAGAAATCAGATCTATCTTTTAACACTTTATCTCCAATAGCTAAATATGTCTGTAAAATACATTAAAAAGATCTTGTAAATAGAAAAGGGCGAAAAAGAGTCTACCAGAGGTCGTGATTTATTGTGGCCAATGATGAATCTTTGGGCCATAAAAACCACGCTAAGTCATTTTTATTAAAATTGTGTGAGCAATTCTGGAAATTTCCTCTTTAAATTCATTCTGCTAAAGGATAATTTACATGAACGAAGTCAATGTGTTCACAGGACCTCGTTATTTACTTGACGATATTTTCAGAACCAGCCCTCTTGAAGTTTTTTGCAAGAAGTGCAGACTTGTTTATATACTGAAAACAATATACTCTGTATATATATTTAATTCATATAATACTTACATCATAACTACCTTGCTGGAAATTTCTAGTAACATGAACACTACCTTGTATATCATGATGACCAGGTTGCCATATTCTAGTATCATAGGATAATTTAGCAGCTAAATATTTTCCACTAAAGTAATAAACAAAGATACACACACACATATATTATACGCTTATAGCCTAAGTTTAAAATCGCAGGATCTCGGAATATGGTATGACATTCTCTTCGGTGAGACAATTTACGACACAAATACTGTACAAAGGGGCCATTTTTGAAATCGACCAACTGATATATAATGTAATGTGTGCCAGGGGTGGTATACACGAGAACGCGTCCGAAAATACTTCGAATCGTTTATTACAGATAGTAAGTACTGATTACGGAAGACCACTAGGGTCAATCAAATGAAAAAAAACAAACATTCTGTTATCTTGTAATTACGTAATTGCAATATCTTGTAAGTGGGTAAGACGCTGGCTCGCTAGCCTGGAGGATGCGTGTTCGATCCCTGCATTGACCGAAAAAGTTGACTGAGATTTTCCTGTGTGGTTTCCCTAGCTGTCTAGTCGTTCGGATGCGTCGAAAAACCGAGGTCCTGTGTACACAATGGCGTGCACGTAAAAGTTGGAATTTGATGCAAGAGTAGGCCATATAGTTCCGCTGTCCGGGCATAATTCCGCTGTCCGGGCATAATGTCCCTCATAGGACACTGCATGGCGTATGCCTGTCTTCATTAACCCGATTTGATTTCATTTGGATGCATGAAAATAACGAATGATATTAATGGGAGCATGGCATGAATGTGCCGATTCTGTAACATGAAATGAAGTACGGCGCTGTCCTAGCTATTCGATAAATCAGTGTATGGCGACCTTTAAATAAATTACTCATGGGCTTCATCTATCTTGTAATTATAACAAGATAGCTATCTTGTAATTACGAGATAATCAGATTTTTTTTTTCATTTCAATGACCCTAATGGACTTCCGTAGGTAATTGTATAAAAACAAAAAGTAAAATACCGCCCGTATAAATCCATCCTCGGTATCCCCAGTGTTTTCATTCCGTTCTAATCCACTAACCCCTGGGTTAATCTATTGGGGAGACACGTTTTCAAATTATTCGCCCTTGACGATTGTGCTCTTTTTATCGACCAATCCCATGCATCGTTAATTGAAAAGGAAGTTGGCAAAGGGAAGTAACTCTCATCGGACAAGTTTAGGAGTTAGCCTAAATGAGAGAAGTTCAAATTATTCTAAATGCGTACTTACTAACAACAAATTATATAATATGAAATTAATGAAGACCGGACCAAATTGCCAAGTATAAGTTCAATAATAATAAACATAACAGAATGAAACATTTCAGATAAAGAACGAATAGTAATAATAATAACAAAAGTCTAAAATATAGATGTTTAGCTACGAGAAACAACAAATTATATAATATGAAATTAATGAAGACCGGACCAAATTGCCAAGTATAAGTTCAATAATAATAAACATAACAGAATGAAACATTTCAGATAAAGAACGAATAGTAATAATAATAACAAAAGTCTAAAATATAGATGTTTAGCTACGAGAACGTAGCTAAAAACGTTGAGATATACTGATGTGTTTGTTTTTAGCTACGATTGGATGCCTTTAGTTCCAAGTGGCAAACTCAATTTCTTTATTAATGCATATAACATCTTTAAAATAAGATAAGTTTATGCTATTATGATTAATTAAACCTACAGAGGCCAATGTAGTGGCACAACTGTCGCCTAACTCCAAATACTCGCGTTTAAATTAATGAAGCGTTGTTTTTGTCTGACATTAACCGCCATTGAAATCCATTCATAGTTACAGAGCTTTAGATTGCCCTATTGGTTGTCTGTTATAAAAGCCTTATATTTAGCCCCGCCTTCATGATGACAGCGTATCGTTTAAAAAGATGGCGGTCTTAGTAACGGCTTAACGCCTCGATTTTAAAAACGACGATTTGTACCCGTTTCAGGTAGGATTATATGCTTAATTGTAGTTGGGTCTGGCAGAAATATTATAAATAACAATAATCAATCCTTGTTTTTATTAAAAATATTGTCAATTTTGTTTACAAATGCCGGGTGCGAATCGCTCCCGCATGTGCTACATTTGAAGGTAATGGCCTCATGTCTTATCTCGAAACACGGAGGGTTGAGAGATTAAGGTTTGTTATCTAATAGATGTTATACATTTTTGAAATCAGCGAAACGTACTATATATTTTGATAATACAATTAATTATAAATGAATTAAAAATATATACATTATTTACACAAGCCATTCAGTAAATGGACATGAATTTGGTTAATTATCCTTATAAAATCGATGGCGAAACGACTGGTTTGTAAACTGTTTCTCGATTGGTTCGTAGATCTTAGCTACAATCAAGGCCAGGGCAGATAATTTGAAATCGTGGAAACCCTATGGATTAACCCAGGGTATAGTGGAGTAGAACGGAATGAAAACACTGGGGATACCGAGGATGGTATAAATCCATCCAACTAACTAAATTATACTTACTCATGCTGTGAACGCAATACTATATAGACATTCATAGATTTAACGGGTGCAGCAAACCCGTCATTTTTAATAGTAAACTGATAACAAAGAGTTCCTCCTGGGTGTACAGAGTTTGGTAAAATGGTCTGAAATTTCAGAAATATTATGACGGTTATAAATACGGTGCTGAAAAAAAGCGGCTTCTCTGCTGGAGGCTGGTGTACCTCGTCCGCGATATCATAGTATTATACATGTAGTACTGGTAATGTCTTACCTGACTCAGTGATAGCCTGTACCCTAATCGCCTGTGGACCTCTTCATAACAACCATCCTTCTTCCATATAGCGTACACATCTCGATTATACCCTTCGTTTAAAAACGTCCAGTGAAAATACGCCATTTCTTTTAAAGCTGTAGGGCATTTATCTCTAAAGGTGTAACAGAAACAAACTGAAGATATGAAATATTCTTGCTTACTATATATAGGAGGGGTTTCATTTTCCGATCTTTATGTTTGCTTATATTTCAGGCCTCAATAACATACGTGTATTTGATATAATTATGTTCGTAAATACCGTTGTTCCACAACGAATAATTCCTGTCGTTCTTTAATCTGTGGCAAAGACAAATTTCTCAGACGGTTCTAATCCATGGCCCTTTACCTTCATTTACCCAACCATATTAGATTGTTATTTACCTGTCATCTTTAGTGACAGCACATGTTTCTCCACCTATGACACAATATTCAGTATCAGCATGTAGATACGGATAATCAACAGCTTTATTATGATAAGTACCAACATCATTATCTGATGATAAGAAACAGTCGTTATGATGACCTGGAAGACAATAAAATCATTATATCAAAGATCACACGCGGGTGCAAACAATAATCAGTTTCCTTGTATAAACTACAAGAATAACTTAAAACAATTTCCATCGTCTCAATTTGCTATCAGGGGGTGTGTACGTAAGTCTATGCGGAATCGATATGGGATTGATAATGAATTTGAATTCACCATAATCATTACTGCGCTATGATTAGAACCCGATTCCGAATAAGAGAGAGATAAATGAGGTTTAACTAGGTCATTTCGGGACTAACACGTGGTTCAATTTTATTTCAATAAAATAGGGGTCTTTAGCAGTGGGAGGAAACAGGAGGACCCGGAGGAAACCCAAGAGATTGGACAAGCGACCCTACTCCTTGTCACGTACAACCGGGGAATCGAAACCACGCCAGTTGACTCAATGACAGACCTTATGATACAGCGCGCACGTGCTAACCATCGATTCCGAATAAAGAATGTAGCTACTATGTGCATAATATAGTGAACAAAGACTATATCTACTATTTACATAATATACTGAATATAGTCCTATACTAAACATATCTACTATGTGCATAATAAACTTAACAACGACTATAATATCTATTATTTGTACATGTATAATATACAGAACAAAGAAGGTATCTACTATGTGCATATACTGAACAAATACTATAGCTACGATTTACATAATGTACTAAACATAAACTGTAATATCAAGTATTGACATAATATACTAAACAAAGACTATAGCTTCTATTTGCATAATACTATGAACAAAGATCAGATAGTTAAACGGGCTGTCCAGCAGGGAGTATTCTAAGTAGTAATTAACACTATACACAGTAATTTGAGGGATGACTGGCTGTCACGATAGCAGATGGTCTGATTTTGTATCATCTTGCTCGATATATTGGGCAAAGAATTGCTACTATGGGGCTTAATGTGTTCAACATTAATTAGCTATCATCATGATTTTTTATATTTCTATAGTTTTCAGAGTGTCAATTGTTCTGAATCTATACCTGTTCTAGCTTTATGTCCATGTTTCAGAATTTCAGAATATGACGTAGGTTTCTCATCCCACATGTCTCTTTTGATAGATGGATATCTAATCTGAACTTGACTGGAAAATAAAAACAGCCGAGTTAACATCGTATATAATAGCCGACGATAATGTTCAAGAAAGTCGGTATAGCTGATGTTAGCCCACCTTTAAATTTCATTGTTGAATGTAATAATGTGTATGTAATCTACATTTAGAGGCGTTGCTATTGTTTATTGAAATTAATTATTCATGGTTATTTGATTTTCTGGATGGATGGAATTTGAAGATGTTTAAGAAATCTCTATAGGATAGTTAAATTTAACCCATTATGATTTAAACCTACACGGATTGGGGGACAGCATCTAAAACAGCTGTCAATACTTCTTTTCTGTCATTCCAGATACTATCAGAATAGCCGTGTTTGGGATATTTATGACTATCACGTTTATGTGGATCTCCGAAATATGTTGTATAATACCATTCACCTAAGGAAGAAGACGTATCTTTATTATTAAGGTTATTTAATAAATTCCGGAATATCAGCTTTAAAGGAAAATAAAGGAATGGGGTTAATGTTTAAATAACTATGATCACCTTGCCAAGGGTATATTTTTTGTATGGGGAGTGGTGTCTCTATTTTCTTTTGAAAATCTATTTATCATGTGCATACGGGTGGACCTCAGTGTTACCTATGACAAGATGAACCTGAGTGTTAATGATAAAACAATGTTCTCACAGTTCAGTTGCTTGTAAATATAACTTGAGGCGTTTAGTCTATGGTAGTTGGTAAATTTGTTGTCTTTCTTTAGTCATTTTTGGGCTGATTAGAAGTGACCTACCCCAAATTCCAATAAACCCTGCCTCCACGGAAGTTAAAACACCTTCATGTTTCTGTAGGATTGGTTTTAGTTGTTTTATATGTTCCAATATCCAGTATTTATTGGCATCACCGTATGGTGCTTCAGATTTCTGTAAAGATAAAGATAACATAACATAATAGGGAAATCCGTGTTTGAGCTATGTAATCCACTCTTGAAGAAAACGAGTATTAAAGTAACGATGATGCATTGATATTTGTCGCTAAAATATGAAATTAGGAAAAAAATATCAAAATACCAATTCTAGATAATGTCCCGGTTTGGATTCAATCGGATTTAAAACAGGTGTTAACAAATGTTCGCGGACAACAAACTCGCGGCGGGCTTATTGTATTGTGAGCAGCATAGATCGATGCAATTTCATTTCCACATATCTTTGTAAACACGGAAAGGAAATTGAACCATTATTGGGCTGATATGCCTATCAGAGATTCATCTTTCACAATATTGTACTTTGCAAGTGATTTCTATTACTTAAAATGGTGCATCGGGACATTAAGCGGTGGGGCTATATAAATGTGTACAATATACAGGTAAAGTTAAGCTAACGAAATACTTACCATTTTCAGCGTATAGCAGAATCTAACTGTAACAGTGAATCCAGCTTCAGTCAATGCTTGGAGATCATTATCAACATCTTTTAGATAAGTTGAGGATATATGAGAACTAACATATTTATCCAGTACGAAATATCTCCATACCATAGTAGTTCCAATCTTCTGTCGCAGTGAGTCAAGGAAATCCACCTGTATTAATTTTAATAAAGGAAGTTAAAGAAGTTTTAAAGGGGCGTGGCATCTTTGATCTTTGTACGGGTCAAACAAGTATTGAATTATGATAAGAAAAATTAACCAGCATGAACTCTAAACCACAAGTCAAATGAAATGAAATGAAATGGGGTTTAACGTCCTATTGTTCTGCTCCTACTGGGCTAATGAAGACGGGAAACCACAAGTCAGGATACGAACTCCGCTGGACGAATTGAATAGTGTGTTATTTAGAGTAGTGAAGGGGCACGTTTCCCATTACGGCGGATTGAGGAGAAGTTAGTCTTTTTAACTAATTCTTGATTCTTTATGTGATCATGCAAAATCGCCGACTACTTAAAATAAAGTCGGTTATATTGAAACATTAGCGTAATGGAACTTAACAAAGTGACAGATAAAGTGCGCCAATAAAGGTCACTGAACGGCTTTTTAATTTCCCGATGACGGATATTGATCTTTGTACTTGATAAGCTCACAACAGCAATACAATAGGTCCAAGAATGCAGCACTGTATACCTATTCCCAGTGTAGAGAAAACAATATTTATACTGAATAATGGAAACCTGGAAACATATTTAACTAAAACATCTGCGATTCGGCGTGTTTGTACGTTGTCCGGGTTTTAATGAACAATGTTCATAAACAAAATGCCATTACTAAAAGTCAACGCTGAATTGTATTGTGGAAGAATGGAAGTAATACATATTTTTAAAACTAAAATGCTCCTAGTATACAGTAACTTAAGTTATGAGGGCACCATATTGTAGATTTCTAGAAAGTTATTCCTTTCATTTTACTTACAGTTAATGGTTGATGATGTTGTGAACTAGATGTTCTCTGTTCAACAAAACCACGACCAGGATTTTCTATATGATCATTTGTTCCGGAATAGGTCTTCTTTGTAAATCTAAAAAATATTACAAAGTTCAATTATGCATGACAGTATAAATAGAAATCGTCTCGTCTCTGCACTGTAATTGTCTGCCCCCCACCTTGTCCCAAAGCATCGACCAAAGAAATTGCTTAGCTCTGCTTAGCTTTAGCTAGAAATGTTAAACATTGAACTCAGTCAAGACATTCACCTGATGAACATTTACATCAAGTTTAAACATTCTACCTCATTTGAAAGCAGAGATGTTATGTACCAAAGTCTTGACCAATCAAATTGCTTATCGATCCTTAGCCTAAGCAGAAAATTCTTATCAACAAACTTAGTCAAGGTAATGATATAGTGAATCTATACTCAGAGTTTCATCACTCTCATTTAATTAAAACCAAAGTTATCGTGCCCCAAAGCATCTACCAATCAGATTGCTTATCTCTGCTTACCGTAAGCAGACAATGTTTATCATCGCACTCCATCAAGGCATTCACCTACTGGACGCCTACACCAATTATGAACATTCTACCTCAATTAGAAGGGGAGTTGTGCTCCAAAGTCTCGATCAATCAAATTGCTTATCTCTCTGCTTACCCATAAGCAGAAAATGCTTATTTATGGAACTTACTCAAAGTATTGATGTGATAATACTATACACCAAGTGTTCCCACTCTCACTTAATTAGAACAAAAGTTATCGTGCCCCAAAGCATCAACCAATCAAATTGCTTATCTCTCCTTACCCAAAGCAGAAAATTCTCATCTCCGAACTTCAAACTCAATCAAGGCATTCACCTAATAAACTCCGAGTGTGAACATTATAGGTCAATTAGAATGAGAGTTATTGTGTTCCAAAGTCTCAACCAATCAAATTGCTTATCGCTCTGCTTACCCTGACCAGAAAATGCTCATTATCGAACTTAGTCAAGGTATTGTTGTAATAAAACTATACACCAAATTTCATCACTCTCACTTAATTAGAACTAAAGTTATCGTGTCCCAAAGCATCAACCAATCAAATTGCTTATCTTGGATTACCCTAAGCAGAAAATGCTCATCTACAAACTCTATCAGGGCATTGACCTAATAAACACCTACACCAAGTTCGAACATTCTAGCTCAATTAGAAGGAGAGTTATTGTGTTTCAAAGTCTCGGCCAATCAAATTGCTTACCGCTCTGCTTACCCTGAGCAGAAAATGCTCATTATCAAACTTAGCCAAGGTATTGATGTAAAGAAACTATACACAAAGTTACGTCACTCTCACTTAATTAGAACTCAAGTTATCGTGTCCCAAAGCATCAACCAATCAAATTGCTTATCTCTGCTTACCCTAAGCAGAAAATGCTCCATCAAGGCATTGGCCTAATAAATGAAATGAAATGAAATGGAGTTTAACGTCCTACTGTTCTGCTCCTAACCTGGGCTAATGAAGACGGGCATACGTCATACAGTGTGCTATGAGGGAAATGTTGCCCGGACAGCGGCACTAAGGCCTACTCTTATATCAAATTCCAACTGCCAAGGGATCTTTTACGTGCACGCCAATGTGTACACGGGACCTCGGTTTTTCGTCCCATCCGAACGACTAGACAGCTTTCCTTGTCAGCCCCTCCGTCCTGCATCACTGACAAGGGAGAACCACGCCGGAAGTGGATGAACTTTCTCGGCCAATGCAGGGATCGAACACCCGACCTCCAGGCTATTGTGTCCCAAAAAGTGTGACGGACAGACAGACGGACGGCCAGACAGACAGACAGACAGACCTACAGACGGGCAGACAGACGAACCCATATTAATAGTCCCCTGCTTTCTTCGAAAGGCGGGGAACAATAAAAATTGTCACAGGCTGGAGGAAGGGTCCAGATCATGTGTAGACGTGATATGAATATGAAGTGTCCACACTTTGAATTTACAAAAAACGAAAGTGTCAAAGGATAAGGAAAATGTTGATTGTAATTATAGTTGGTCAAGCCTAACTATCCTAACCACCATTTTAAATTAACAATACTTACCCACTGGGTACAGAACCAATATTTGAACATGTTGGGCAACCACCATCCGTATCTATAATAATTGAGAAGAAAATATAGCTATGGATTTGTGATGGTCATTTTCTAGTATTCAAAGGCCGTTTAATAACACTCGGTAGTAGAAAGTGTCCCATAAAATGATATTTTATCTCCAAAATGTGACTTAATTTTGTTTAAAAATTGCATATCAAAAATAATGTCCATTTCGTAAAACCAGATTTATAATGTTACGCATAATATTGAAATAAAATATTTCAAACTTCACTGTTTATTCAATATTACATACTTATCTGAAGTAGAAAATAGTCCAATTAATCAAACTTACCTGATGGTAGGGCGAATACTACCAGAAGAAATATATACCACGTCATTGTTATGTTGGTTTAATTCTAATAATCGTTTTAACAATTTTATACAGAAACATATCGTGACGATTATGGGAATATGCATCTGGTCAGTGAAGTCAAATCTTGACACAAATGGCTCAGATGATTGTTCTACATTTGGTTTATCAGTAAACTGATTTAAATAAATGTTTATTTCTAAAATTTAGTGAAATAAGTTTCTCGCGTCCTTGAAATTGGAACAGCCTATCCAATATTACATATATAATATATATACACAATTAGTTATGGAAAATCCCTCCACCCCCCACCCAAAAAAAGATTTCTCAACTGATTCTGGTAGGGTTTGGTGAACTTTATAACATACTAAATTGTTTACCAAAGTAGGACCCCCGGAAAAGTGTTTATTCAAGATGGCGTCAAAGATGGCCACCGAAACTTGATGATCTTGGTGTCTTTCCCTATGTTTTGGGGGGCAAAGAACACATTACGATCATTAAAAATGGACTCAAATTTGATGTCTATCCCCAGGTTTTGGGGGACAAGGAACACATTAAGAGAACTTTGGATATCACTGAGCTGTTAAATCATTATGAAATTGTATTCATGACCTTTAGCTGTCCACTATTATAGAATAGGTTTCAGTGCGTTCAGTTTTGAGTGGCATCCTCCTCCTCAGTATCGACCTCTTGGCTGTTGTTTGAATTGTCACAGATTTCCTGACCTTACTCCTTCATTACCCAAGAACAGACAATGAGATCGTCTACCTCCGTTCAAACAAGTAGTCAAAAGAACACAAAGTGTATAACATTAACCTGTTGAAAGAAACTTTAGGAGACGATACGTGCAACAAGTTGCTTTTGTACATGTCTACTCAGGCTGTGATTCAACTTCAAGGATTTTAGGCATCAGAAAATAGTCCGCCTTCCGGAAATTAGTGAAATCTGATCCTGTCATGTAGTCCTGTGCTAGTGCATTTACCCTTCAAAACAAATCTCAAGAGAACATATCAGATCTTGGCAAAGACCTGATGGTTGATCTCTTTGGTGGCAAATCGAACGATACGCTATCCTCACGGTACCATATCATTTTCGCCAAGAACGTGGCAACTGCTGAAGCTGAAGTTAATCTCATCAATTAATTAGCACCTTAGTGCCAGCTAGTGGTCAGGAGATTAAGATTGTTGATTGGATAATTATCATAGAAGCCGCCACAGCTGTACGCGTGTTCATTTAACACGTGAATTAAAATAAGATTTTGCGTGTACGATAGGTCTATTATTATTTTCAGGTACCGTGACTTTATCAAAATATGAGTCCCTATAGAAATGTCAATTCCATAGTCACTTTCGTGCATTTTGGCTTTGATGTAAATATCAACATTATTCAGAGGATACTCAATGGCAGACTCGAGAATCATCGCATTTCGGCTCCTTGGTCTCTATGCTGGTCAGTCTGTGGTCACTGTTGCAAGAGCCTTTAATTGTTCACGCCAGACAACAATTAATCTTAGAATGAGAATGCTTCAAACTGGAACTATTGCCGACCGCCCAAGGGCGGGAGCGCCACGTGTGACGTCACTCCAGGAAGATCGGCAATACGATTACGTCATCATAGAAACAGATTTGTCACTGCAACCTCCACAAGTAGAGAGATGTTTGGTGGAAGGGTAACTGCACAAACTGTTCGAAATCGCTTGCAGGCTGCTGGTCTTCGAGCTCGGAGGCCCTATAATGGACCAATATTGACACCTCTTCATCGCCGTAACCGACTTGTGTGGGCCACAAGACACATAAGATTTACTCAAAGACAGTGGAATTCGGTTGTCTTTAGTGACGAATCTCGATTCACTTTGAGATTTGCCGATGGCAGGGTCCGAGTGTACCGCAGACGAGGTGACCGTTACACTCAAGTATGCGTCAGAGAAGTTGACCGATTTGGTGGCGGCAGCGTCATGGTTTGGGGTTCTTTTTGTGCACATGGACGTTCTCCTCTTGTTGTTGTCCAAGGGAACTTTTAAATGCTGCCCAGTACAGGGATCAGATTTTGCAACCTGTTCTTCTTCCGTTTATGCAGAGACATGGGCCTGGACTAACGTTTCAACAAGACAATGCTCGACCCCATACAGCAATTGCTACCCATAATTTTTTTAAGAAATGCCGGTGTCCAAGTCTTGGATTGGCCGTCGCTTAGCCCCGACCTTAATCCTATTGAACACATCTGGGACGAACTGGGTCGACGTGTTCGTCAGCAAGTGAATCCACCACTGACACTTGCAGGACCTTCAACATGCTCTTGATGAGCAGTGGCGACATCTTCCTCGGGTAGTGTTTACTAATGTTCTAAGATCCATGAGAAGACGTTGTGTGGCAGTACGAGACGCTAGAGGAGGCCACAACCGTTACTAAACACTTTATTCCGATTGTTCTCCAAGTCTGTGAATTTCATTTTGGGGGGTACTGTAACATCACGAACGTTATCAATGTCAAGGACTTTCGGCGAGACGTATTCTTGCTTTCTGTTGATGTCAAGGTCGTCTGTGCACAACATAACACTAAAATAGTTGCCTTAAACCAAATATTAAAAATCCAGTAGACGTGGTACAAGGGTTAATCAGCGAACTGGATGTATGAGATGTGTTGTTGACGTTTGGGAAAGTAGGACGAGGGGAAATGTGTAGGGAGTGAAGTGCTGTAAAGGGATAGTTAGATGTATTATGAATGGTTAGAGTGGCTGTGGTGTTACGGTGAAATACTATGCCGCCACCGTAACACCACAGCTTTATGATTTGTTAGACAGGAGTGATGTAATGGGTGTCAACAACTGGGTATGCTGGTACCGTCGCAACGTAGCCGTGAAATATATATTGTGGGGGGGGGGGAAGGGCGGAAACGGAAAAATATACAATGTTGACAGTATGTGCCAGGCATGAGGCTGCGCAGACCGAGCGGCAGCTCGATAGGGAGTGTGTGGGAGGGTCACCCTCATAAAAAAAAATTTTTTTTAATTTCAGTTTTCTGTAAGCAGTGAAAACACTATTTTGGCATTGTTTGCGGGGTTAAACCTAAAAATCACATTAATACACCTATTGCACGATATTGTGAAACTAGCTGACGAAGACAGCTCGGGCGGCGATTGTTCGACTCGGGGCTGCTCTGTCAGTATCTCACAAACGCATTTAGTTCGCGTACAACTTTTAAAAACCGAATGTCAGTATGGTATTTCTCACATAATTGGTTATCGCAAAAACAGAGTAAACTGAACGCGAGTAATCTCGACTCAAACCTATAGTCTATAGCCTACTTACTACACTCGTCAATAGGCTTCCTATATTATTGTTTGTGGACGGTTTACTACTCAGTGATAAGCCTGCGCCGCAAAAAGAGGTCTCGCCTTTTATTATTAGTATAATGACTTCCTCATGTGCGGCAGGTTAGTTTGCTTCTAAAAACACTGTTTTCCGTTCCAAAAAATACAAAAGTAATTTTCTACCAGATGACCATGGTTCTTTTCACCGAGACTAGATAATTTCTCTCGGTGTAAGGATATAGCTATGGATAAGTTCATACAAGGTCAATAAATCCGCGGTCACTTCGGGTCACACTGTTGAGAAAATAAACCGATGGGTTTGTTTAGTAGCAAATCGAGCGTGAATCAACTGAGTTTGTACTGAAAAAATTTTGAGTGATATGTATGAACTGTCTTCACACATTCGGTTTATAATTAGCGATACACAGGTACAGTGGCAAGTGTTGTACTTCACAGACTGTTTACCTCCGAACTACCTCCGCACGAAATCCCCGATTTGGGTACTTGTTAAAAGAAAAAGAAATAGTAACTGTGCGCATGCCAGTAAAAAAAACACCTAAGAGTTCGCGCATAAAAATGCCCGAACGTACCAGGCGCCAGGTCATCCAGTAGACGTGGTACAAGGGTTAATCAGCGAACTGGATGTATGAGATGTGTTGTTGACATTTGGGAAGGTAGGACGAGGGGAAATGTGTAGGGAGTGAAGTGCTGTAAAGGGATAGTTAGATGTATTATGAATGGTTAGAGTGGCTGTGGTGTTACGGTAAAATACTATGCCGCCACCGTAACACCACAGCTTTATGATTTGTAAGACAGGAGTGATGTAATGGGTGTCAACAACTGGGTATGCTGGTACCGTCGCAACGTAGCCGTGAAATATATATTGTGGGGGGGGGGGGAGGGCGGAAACGGAAAAATATACAATGTTGACAGTATGTGCCAGGCATGAGGCTGCGCAGACCGAGCGGCAGCTCGATAGGGAGTGTGTGGGAAGGTCACCCTCATAAAAAATTTTTTTTTTAAATTTCAGTTTTCTGTAAGCAGTGAAAACACTATTTTGGCATTGTTTGCGGGGTTAAACCTAAAAATCACATTAATACACCTATTGCACGATATTGTGAAACTAGCTGACGAAGACAGCTCGGGCGGCGATTGTTCGACTCGGGACTGCTCTGTCAGTATCTAACAAACGCATTTAGTTGGCGTACAACTTTTAAAAACCGAATGTCAGTATGGTATTTCTCACATAATTGGTTATCGCAAAAACAGAGTAAACGGAAAGCGAGTAATCTCGACTCAAACCTATAGTCTACTTACTACACTCGTCACTAAGGCTTCCTATATTATTGTTTGTGGACGGTTTACTACTCAGTGATAAGCCTGCGCCGCAAAAAGAGGTCTCGCCTTTTATTATTAGTATAATGACTTCCTCATGTGCGGCAGGTTAGTTTGCTTCTAAAAACACTGTTTTCCGTTCCAAAAAATACAAAAGTAATTTTCTACCAGATGACCATGGTTCTTTTCACCGAGACTACATAATTTCTCTCGGTGTAAGGATATAGCTATGGATAAGTTCATACAAGGTCAATAAATCCGCGGTCACTTCGGGTCACACTGTTGAGAAAATAAACCGAAGGGTATGTTTAGTAGCAAATCGAGCGTGAATCAACTGAGTTTGTACTGAAAAATTTTTGAGTGATATGTATGAACTGTCTTCACACATTCGTTTATAATTAGCGATACACAGGTACAGT